GTCAAGTAAGGGGCTAGTGTCATGTTCTTGTTTAAGCCGTTTAAATTTTTTCCAGTCGAGTATGTGACCTTCTTCTATAGCTTCATTTAACTTCTTAAGGAAAGCTACTTTCTTACTGTTTACAAAATTGCTATGCTTGTTGCGTTGCTTAAAGTATTCTCGTCTGAGGATACAGTTACAGTGCTTACTACCAAGCCGGTTTGCTAGCCTATTTAGGTTCCGCCGTGAGGAGTTGACTTGTGGGTCGAACCATTTCTTACGGGCAGAATTTTTGGGAGGCTTTTTCACTTTTAAGGCTATATCAGCAGCACTGTGGAGACATTTTATGACTGCATCGTTCAGTTCGTGATTGCCCTCCAGAGTACTGCTAAATTCATTTGTCACAATGCTTTCCAGATTGTTGATAATTTCGGGCGAGGTAAGGGCTTTTTTAAATAGTGAATGGGAGGTGTTGCTATCCCACTTATAGCCACAAGGAAAGTTAGAAAAGTCTGGGAGCTGGAAATTTGCGACAAATGGTTCAAATGTAGTGAGTTTCAAGACTAATGGACAATGATCAGAGTATGATGTAAACTCTTTTACTTGGAGAGAGTTTACATGATCTCTTGCCCATGAGGTGATTACAAAATAGTCAACCACACTGCTTCCATTGTATTTGTGACAGGTCATTTTTCCAGTGGTGTCCCCAAGGGTACGACCATTAAGAATTTTGAGTTGGTTATTGATAACCATGTCAAGAAAGTGTTGGCAGTGGGGTTCAGATATTGTAAGGTCAGAATTATTTCTTGGTTCTTCTATGTCGTGCTCGAGTCCAATGTCGTTATAGATGTCATGGATGGCAGGTGCATTACAGGAAAGGATATAGTCTGGGAGTTTTCCAGTTCTTGCATTTGCATCGCCACACATAATAACTTCTCCCTTTTGACGTAGTCTGATACAGATAGAGTCAAGAGCAGAGAAGGTATTAGCAGTATAATCTGGATTCTTCTTGACATAGGACGAGTATGCAGGGCTAATATAATAACATACCAAAAATAGGTCAAAATCAAGTTTAAAAAAGTTCTTGTCCAGTTTAGCAACAATAATGTCATCAGATTCATTACAAAGCACACTAGAGACACCTTTTCTTAGGCCATTTTCAGCAAGAATGCAGACCCCTCCTGAGCGTGAATTTTTGCGGTTGCTATTAAAAGAGAGGTATCCTTCAATCTTAACTTGCTTCTTTGTTTCTTGGAGACAAAGAATGTTAGCTTGTTTGAGGATTGACAAAAATTCGCTATTTTCAAATTTGTTAGACCCGTCTCCTGTGCTGTCCTGGATGTTCCAGGACATCACAGCGACTTGATCTCGTGATACTTGTTTTTTCTTGAATTTTAGGGTTAATCTAACGCTCTGTAGGGGGCTGCTTTCTAGGGGATCTCATACCAAAGGCACGGTATAGGCCAAGTTTAATATTCAAACAAAGTTTTTTCAAACCATACTCTGAGACATGGAGTTGGTCCTCCTTCAACGGGTTAGGAGAGTCTTGGGATGACTCAGCAGCAGAGATGGCACGGGAAAAGTTTCCAGTATTGTTTACAGTATATAGGCGGCGGTAAAAGTCACTTAACCCTCTTTTAGCTGAGACAAATTGTGTTATTTCTGAGACAAATTGGTTGGTAAGTTCACTGATTAATCCAGGGGTTGGGGTGGGTAGGGAGATGACAACCTTTGCGCTGGAGCTCGAGAGGAGTTTATCGATGACTGATTTTGCATCCTCAATCGCTTTATTAACAGAGCAGGTTCTGTATCTGTAGTCGTTGACTCCAAGCTGGAGAATGTAACAGTCGACCTCTGGCTGTTTAATGACATCTCTCATACAGTGGTCTTTTATCATGTCAGTATAAGAGCCTACTTTCATTTTTTCCACCTTGAACCCAGAGGAAAATGACTCAGGTAGAAAGTTGTTCATCTGGGAGTCATGTAGGAGTAGAACCTTTTTCGGTTTTCGCGTTTGTCTACTAGGGCTGTGGGTTGGGTGGTTCTGGTTTTGAGGATGAGGCGATGGCTTTTTTCTTGATGGGTTGGTGCGGTCATTAAGCTGGAGAGACTGTAGGCAGGCCTTAGAGTCATCTACTTTGTTCTTAAGGCCAGAGGGGGGGGGTAAGGGGTCAAAAAATTCTACCAAAATATTATTTTCTAAATCGATTTAATTTTTAATGACAAAAACATTGCCGCTATTCACATATTTGTAGCTGATTAACTTTATTTTATAATTGAGGTTAACCGATTTTCACAAAATTGACTATACAATATTGAGGTTAATAAAATTGAGGTTAATATTTTATTACACGCCATAATTTTTTGTTATTTCGGTCAGCAAATGTAAACTCTAAATTTTAGGTTCATAATTGTCAGAAAAAGTAATATCCAAACGTGATTAAATGAGGTTAACCTCGTCTTTTAGATATAGCGAGAATAGATCAAATGATAGAGTTATTATTTTCATCGTAAGTTTACGGTATACACATTTCTAAATAGATGACGTGTTGATTGACTTTCTTTTATCTTGGGAAAATGAAAAAAATGAGGTTAACCAACACATTTTGGTACCGTAGGGAATATACATACGGTTCTTACTTATGTAATGTACCACAATATCGAAGTGAGGTATCTATTGGTATCACAATGCCTACAACTATAATCACGTGACAAAGGTGATTCGAACTGACCATATTTTAGTAGAAGATTTTACCCGTAAATGGCTAAAAAATGAGGTTAACCTCTCATTTTTTGAATACCTGACTAGTCAATTACATGTTAACCTCAAAAACTTAATCGTTATACTGTGCAAATGTTTTACTACATATATAATAACATTGATAAACCAATCCCAGTGTTATATGGTCTAAAGCGAGGTTAACAACCAAATTTTAAGCAGTTAGTGTTTACAGGAAGTCTTGGTTAACCTCATTTTTTACAATACAAGGACATTAACTACTGAAAGTAGCTAAAATCATTTAGGGGACGGCCAGGTCTGATCAAGCAAACGTTATTAAGTGTATAAAAAGTCCTAACTAACGAACTGTGAAAAATTCCAGTGAATATTCAAAATTTTGAAAACACTAAATTGCATCTATCTCAAAACACATTTTTTGACCTTTCGATTCCTTAGTTGAGAAAACCGGCCACTCCCTGATCTTGAGGTTTGGTACAGTGGTTCCTTAGACAATTATCCTCATTTATTATGTGACCGATTTTTTTTATTTGACTCGGTTCTCGAATTATGAGGTTAACCAGCTAAATTTTCCGAATTTTTGACATGGTTAACCTCATAATTCAAGAACCGAGTCAAATAACAAAAATCGCTCACATAATAAATGAGGATAATTGTCTAAGGAACCACTGTACCAAACCTCAAGATCAGGGATTGGCCGGTTTTCTAAACTAAGGAATCAAAAGGTCAAAAAAGTTACAGCCGTTTAAAGATCCAGTTCAACATGTAATTACAGGTAAACCTCAAAATTTAGCGCGCGATATCTCAGGAACGCAAGGTCAGATTTTGATCTGGTTTTTTTCTTCTTGTTCGTCTCCAGCAGCTATTATCAAATATGCGAAAACTAGAAAAGTGCCATTTACCCCCCCCTCTGGCCTTAATTGCAGTGACATCTGCTTCGAAGGCTTTAAGGGAGGTGGCAGTTTCATGTTGTTTTTCGTTTATGCTGCTCATTATATCCTCTAACTTTTCAAGTCTCTTGTCCATAGTGTTGAGTTCATTAGACAGGTTAGGGGGGCTGGCACTAACTTTTTGATTGGAATTACTGTCAGAACATAAGACAAGTGTTTGGAGGGTGCTATGTTGTAGACTTATTTTGGATTGTAGATCAATAACAGAGTTTTCCAAAGTTTGGAGGGAATGGGTAACGCATTCGGGCTCAGCTGAGACTACTGGAGGCTCAGCAAGAAGCGTGCTCAGGCGTTTGTGACATGCTTTCGCAACTTTCTTCAGTCTTTTCTTACAATCCAGAGGGGTTCCAGAGTTTGTGCTGCCATGACGAGAAAGTTGGCTTTTCACGGTTTTGTCTTTCATAAGATCAATGGCTTCAAGCATGGCATCTATGCTGAGAGGCAATGTATCACTATCAGAGACTGATGTTTTGCTGCTGGTTATGGAAGGAGAACAGTATTCACTCAAATTGATCAGATCGTCATCCACCAACATGCTTGTTACCTCCTAATGAGGCTCATTGTTGCTCGCTAGTGAATAGTGTTAATATGTGTTCACAGGACTTGAGTTGTTTACAAGAGAAACTCGCTGGGTTTGAAATAGAAACAGAACCTGTTGAAATAGAAACAGAACCTGTTTCTCTTGATGAGATTACTGATTAAGTGACGAAATCACTGATTAAGTGCCAAGATCACGTATCTGCAATATCTTAAAAGGGTCATAAATCGATCAAATTGTAAACAACCAACTTGAAATTTTGGGAAAGTACTCAATTATCAAACCAAACATGTCTAGAAACTTTGAAGTTCTTAGCTGAAAGCGTTCTCACTTTATGGTGATAGGGATTGTCGTGCCGCACCCACTGAAATTGGTTAAATTTGACGTAACTTTCAGGAAATCTAAGTTTGACCCATATCTATAATCTCTGAAATTTCTGTGCAATTCTAAGAAGAATTACGTGAGTTACCGACCATTCCTATCGTATATTCCTGAATGATGGAATGATTTTTTGTCATTTGGCTATAAAATTCTTGCTGCAATTGATTTGTTGTTCTTCTAAAACATCAAGATCTCACAGTTATGCTCAAACAGCTTCACAATTGACATTCAATAGATTGGGCTCTGGGGATTTCTTCTTGTTCAGTACAGGAGTTGAATTTAAAGTTAATGAAAAAAGCACTTAAAATTTTAATATTATGTAAACGGATACTGTAGACGTAAATATTATATACTTTTGATTTTGTATATTTTAGATTTTCATTTGTACTAACCAACTTACATTTTGCATAGGGCTTATGCTTTTCCTGTGAATACAGACCAACTTATAAGTAAAGCACAGCATCCTACAAACTGTAGATGGAGTGACCTCACATCAATCTGAATGGCTGAAGGAGGTAGTTATATTTCAATGATTCTTGATGTATCATAATATTATGTTTGAATCATAATTACTCTAGATAATATGTATTTTATATGGCGTTATTTTTTGGGTATTTTGTTTCTTAAAAGCTTGCTATAAATGCTAGCATTATTTATTCAAAAATTTACCAGAAAGCTATCACAGGAATAAGTGGCCTATTTTCTCGTTTTACTGGAGGTGGAAGAGGCAACACCCAAGGAGGTCTAGATGGAACTAACATTGACAAACGAACTATTGAAAGGTAAGAACTCCATAGTTGCAGTTGTTCTAATTTCCCAGAGAGTGCTCAACTAAGGAAGTTTAAAATGTTTTTTTTTATTTTTATTGCTGAAATATATTATCTACAGGGTGCAAAGATTTCTAGAGAAATTGGTGAAACTATGCAGCAACCCTCAGCTAGGGTTGAAAAGATCTCCTCCCTACCTTCTAGATCTCTTACCACATATGTTCCAAGTGAGTGTAAGAATAACACTGATAATTTCTTTAAATCAACTGAGGGATTTCTTGTGTTTTATCACTTTCATTGTAAAATTGTATACAGTTGACATTCCTGTACTTAAATGTTTTGGAAAACTATGAAAGCATGTTGTTTTCGTGCAGAATGGGCACATTTAGATGGTGATTTCAAGTCTGTAGGCTAACACACTCCTTTCAGACCCTGTCAGAGATATTCAAACAATATGACAGTCGGATAGTCGAACTTAACAGTAACCAGTACTTCCGACTCTTCATTGACAACATCTGCAACAAGGTACATGTTAACTATTACAAGGTAACCCTCTTAATTTTTTCCAGGGCACATTGACAATAACTCAGTATTTCAACAATACATAGATGTGGATACTGGTGGGGAGGTGAAACACATTTGTTTACTTTAATAGTAAGCACATGTTCAGCGGGTTGAGGAGGTGAAACACATTTGTTTACATTTTTAGGGTAAGCACATGTTCAGCGGGTTGAAGAGATGATACACATTTTGTATTATAGAAGGCTTGTAACACTTGTAACGCTTTCTTGTTACCCCCTTTGAAGGCCCCGAATTATTTTCTGAACGAAAGCTCAAAAATAACCGAGAAATCGACCTTCTTATTAACTCATTTTGATGACTGTTTCTGACCTAAAATTGCACGAAAAATCGATTTAGCTAGGTTTCAGAACCTATAAACACTTCCTTATCCCTCAAAATTGATGTTTTATAGTTGATACGAGCAACAAGCAACATATGTTTTGATCCTTCGGTTCTACTCATGACCTAGGCAGTTAAGCTGAACCCGACAGATCGAGGCAATCCTCACCTTAACTGATCAAACTGGTACTAACACAATTTTCAGATATAAATGTTCTTTGCGATACGTTTATTGCAGCTTTGCAACTTGAGTGAAGACCAGAGTACGAAAACACACAGCAGGTAAGCAACTCACTTTTGGTGACTGTTCCTCACGAACATTCTGATCCTGTAACAATTTAGTATACGATAGCTTAGAAGTGAAACCCACTTATTGTAGTACCAACTATGGTCATACGAGACTAAGGAATAATGTACATAAATAAGTTACATAATAAATTACCATATATTATAACAAACATATGAACAGGGAGATCGTCTCCTTAACAAATTGAACAGGTACTATCACAATTTCCAGAGCAGGTACTATCACAATTTCCAGAGCGTAATTTTCACAATTTCCAGAGCATAACAAAGTCAAAAGAAACACAACGAAGGTAGGTTACCAACACCACAATATAACAATTATACTAACAACTGAATTAAATTTATTCTGACGACGGGCAGCCCTGATGTGCTCCGTCATCCTCAACGAGCGACCACTTGTAATAGAGGTGTTATGTCATGTGACACCGATCCGTCCAATCACAAACAGGACGAGTCAGCAGATCGATATCGTGTGTTTACTTTCCTTATCTTTATTTGACCCTCTGTTCACATTGTTATCTCTACCACATCTCGGCTCGGCAAGGTCCACGTGCAATATCTGCACCGCGGTAAACACGCCATGATTACGTCATGAACTTGAAATAATGTGATTGTTGTACTTATATAACCGTGCCCATTGCCCAAGTACAATACAAACTGTTGGGGGGGGGGGGGGGGAGGGGATTGTAGGAACTTATCGTCCAGTCATGAACAGAATATTAACATAATTTTTTAGTTATTTAAGCAGACCTGGTCATTTTAAAAGAATCACTGTCCACTTCCCTCAAAAAAACAGGGTTCAAATTAACAAGTTGGGCACACACGAATGCGATGTCGCTCAGATAAGGCAACATCTTCGCCACAACTTTGTTTCCCAAAATCTTGTACCGCTTCAGATAGCCAATTGAGCGTTCCACGTGGATGCGGGCGATGCTGACTTTTCTGCTGGCTGCTACTTCTTCCGGCGTGAACTGAGTCTTGCCCCACATCCCCGCTGGGATGTTTAGTGTAACTCCTGAAATTTAATTCGCTTTTTATGCCGCTTATTCTTAACTAACCGGACGTTGGACAACTAAACCGAAACATGCTATAACTAAACAATGATAATGTTCCGTTCCTGATTGAACATTTAGCATCACAGTCAGTTGGAGGAGCGACCAACACACAGAATTAAGACACAGAATTAAGAAACATAATTAAGAAACATAATTAAGAGGCAGCGTTGTGGAGGGTGGTTGTGGAGTTTGGAACCAAGGGATAGAGATATCTGAAAGGTTGAGGTAGGCATGATTGGGACACTTAATGGTAGGAGGGTTGTGCTTCGGCATCGCCAAGCAGAGTAAATGGCTGTATCTTTAGCCTTCTTTCTGGAGTAGATGAACCCGTCCGTGTCCACCAGCTGTTGAGATCCTCTCTGTACTTCATTGAATTTGGAGAAAGCAAGCATTGAATTGAAACCGATACTTTTCATGTTCACGTTTCAGTATATATACTAGAAGTGCAGTTGTATATTAACAGCTGATCAACTCTCTATACTTGTGATTGTATGTCTCGTATCACTCCCATTGCATGCTCGGCTCACATCCTTGGATATGAGAACCAGCCCCTTTCGGACCCGGCTCACGTCCGTTATGTGAACACATGCCGAGGGCTCAAACACTTCTTAATATACTTCATAATACACAGCTACTTACTAAACTGTCATGTGAACCCTACCCAGGTTCTTGGGTAACAGTCTGTTGGGATGGTTATAATATGGATCACATCACAAATGATACGTCACTGATTGGGCCATGTGATGTGATACCTGTGGGAGGCCGGAATGAGAGGTTCCTAGTTGTCGGTCACCGCAACAATCACACTATTTCAAGTTCATGACGTAATCATGGCGTGTTTACCGCGGTGCAGATATTGCACGTGGACCTTGCCGAGCCGAGATGTGGTAGAGATAACAATGTGAACAGAGGGTCAAATAAAGATAAGGAAAGTAAACACACGATATCGATCTGCTGACTCGTCCTGTTTGTGATTGGACGGATCGGTGTCACATGACATAACACCTCTATTACAAGTGGTCGCTCGTTGAGGATGACGGAGCACATCAGGGCTGCCCGTCGTCAGAATAAATTTAATTCAGTTGTAAGTATAATTGTTATATTGTGGTGTTGGTAACCTACCTTCGTTGTGTTTCTTTTGACTTTGTTATCATGCTGTGCTCTGGAAATTGTGATAGTACCTGTCCGATTTGTTAAGGAGACGATCTCCCTAGCTGTTCATATGTTGCAGGATCAGAATGTTCGTGAGGAACAGTCACCAAAAGTGAGTTGCTTACCTGCTGTGTGTTTTCGTACTCTGGTCTTCACTCAAGTTGCAAAGCTGCAATAAACGTATCGCAAAGAACATTTATATCTGAAAATTGTGTTAGTACCAGTTTGATCAGTTAAGGTGAGGATTGCCTCGATCTGTCGGGTTCAGCTTAACTACCTAGGTCATGAGTAGAACCGAAGGATCAAAACATATGTTGTTTGTTGCTCGTATCAACTATAAAACATCAATTTTGAGGGATAAGGAAGTGTTTATAGGTTCTGAAACCTAGCTAAATCGATTTTTCGTGCAATTTTAGGTCAGAAACAGTCATCAAAATGAGTTAATAAGAAGGTCGATTTCTCGGTTATTTTTGAGCTTTCGTTCAGAAAATAATTCGGAGCCTTCAAAGGGGGGTAACAAGAAAGCGTTACAAGTGTCACAAGCCTTCTATAATACAAAATGTGTATCATCTCTTCAACCCGCTGAACATGTGCTTACCCTAAAAATGTAAACAAATGTGTTTCACCTCCTCAACCCGCTGAACATGTGCTTACTATTAAAGTAAACAAATGTGTTTCACCTCCCCACCAGTATCCACATCTATTAATGCCTAATAATGATTCACTATGAATGTTCATTTCATGTACAGGTCACACATGTATAGGTCAGCCAATGTTGTTTCATGCCCCTATTTGAACAATAGTCAATATACCTTATACTTTGAAATTCGGTCATGACTCCAATATTGATAATATCTATTGAGAACTGCAATATTATTATCTGATGGTTTCATCATATATATTATACTGGTACAGCTAAATATTCTAGCTTAATCCAACACGAAATGTGTTTAATTAAATAACATACAACAGCTTTAAATTGTTGATAAATACAATGACATCGGTAACAGATTGGCTGATAAACTACAAGATCTATAATATTTTAACCAATAAAATTAAAGCCGAAAGTTTAATAAGTATCACAATGATTATTCAAGTAAACCTCACAGTAATTTGTGTTTCCTCTAGTTTACATCCATTTCTTATCCATTTCTTGAAGTTTACCATTCTAAAGAAGTAAATAATAGGATTGAGGGTAGCATTCAAAACTGGGAGCAGAATTTCACATATCGTCCAGGAATGCCACAGCATGAAATAATTGCTGAAAAGTCCGACATCTATAGAGAATTTATCACCGTAAACAATCGAGAAAGTTGTATAAAGACTGAACAGTAAAAAAAGTGGGCAGTTGCAGAGCAAAAAAACGGCTGTGAAAATTGTCACTGTGACAGCAGCAGTTCTCCGTTTGTCATTTGTTGCCCCAACTCTCGATCCTTTTAACAATTTGACCAGACAGACCAGGAAACTGAAGAAAGTTATGAGGGGAGGAACACCATACTCTATTGAAATAAGTGCATACTCCGTGGTTATAAATGTATTTTCAGTCTCAGTTATCGTATGTTCGCCTGTCTCAAAATAAAGGTAACAGTAAGTAGCATCAGCCCCGTAAATAGCATTAAATTTTAAAAGTAACATACAAATACTGTGTGCGATCAAAAGTAGGCAGTACATAAAGAGGCCTCCGAAAATGAGCTTCTTTCTAATTCTATAAAATGGTCTAGCGATGGCAATAGCCCGACTTAAACTTAAAAGAAGGACTAAAAACATGGAAATTTTGTTGAGGAAGTCAAAAAGAATGGTCGAAGATGTGCAGAAGAAGATGTTGTTGAATAAAACAGGGAGTCTCCGCTTAAACAAGGATACTGGAACAGGAAATCGGACCAAACATGTGCAAAGATCAATAACACCGGTTATAAGGTACAATTGTGTAGCCAAGTCATTCCTTTTGGTTTGCCAGAAGTATCTGAGTGAAAGACTGTTCCCTGCAATTCCTAGAAGTCCAGCAAGCAGAATCAGAGTTCCTAGTGTTATGTCCCAGCCTTCTTCGGGTGAAGTTGAGAGTTCGGAGAACATCAGTACATGGGAATTGAGGTCGTCAGTTCCAGGCATCGTTTAGTGCAACCTAAAAAGTTATGTATATGGTCAAAAAAAGTTTTTTTGTTTCATATTGCGTAACTAACTTGATTTTTCTCATTCGAAGGAACACTACTCGGAAATGAAAAAAAAACATTAAAATTTTCAAAGGGCTTTTAAACACTAAAGTAATGAAACTTTTGGGATGATCAACAGCATGATGTGTTGAACAGTGATGAATGTTTTACCAGAGTTATAAATTTGTTCGAGTAGAGAAATAATTGCTGCCCCTAGACTGATACCCTAGTGTATGCCCAAAATTGATGATTCTGGCTAATGCAGACCTCTTGGAAGTATTTGAGGCCTAAAATTGGCATGAACACAGAATAGAGGTCACTGAAGTCTGAACAAAATGAAAGTGTCAAGTGGAAGATTTGAAAAAACGTGCGTCCGTCACAGTCGCGTCCGTCACAATTTGAAAATGGCGCCACGCAAACAAAAATTGAGCAATCTCCAAGAAAATGACATCTCCAAAATTTAATTTTAGCACATTTCACAGAATATAAAGATGTAAAACAATTCTTAAAATATAATGCCCATTTGGTGTATGACTTTTTGTCCTTGACTGCTAGTTTGGTTTTGGAAGGACAGGTAACTAACGGGGCAAGGAATAATATCGTTCGTAACATGTTTTAAAAGAGGGTGGTTGATTCAGAAGACAAAGTATAAGACTGCACCAAACCGGAAGAATCTCAGATGAGAGTACTAATTTGGGTCACGAAATCCTCTCCGAACCTCCACGTGGTGTGGCCTGGTTGGCACTAACGGGTGGTGTGCTCTCTTGTTGAGTACAAAGGTTGGGACTTGCCAACTCAAAGTTCCCATAGGAACCAGGAAGTCAACACTAACAGCTACCAAGCACCAGGAAATTTCTCTTTCAGATATCAGGTTACAAGATAGTACACACACAAACGACGATACGTTAGACACAGATACATAGCTCTAAGAGCTATTAAATCACCAGGAAATTCTCTTTCAGCTTTCAGGTCCCATCGAAGTCACCCACCACAGAGCTAGGGATTCCAATTCGCTCATCCTGACTACAAGGACACACCGATAATGAGTAGTCTTGGCACTTCTCCCTCCAGTAACCACTTTTCAGGTCCTTTCAGTTAAGACAGCTAATGCGTTAGGGCTGACACACGCTAGACACAGGCTCGTGATAAGACAGTGTTAGGGATGTCAACTCTGACTACGAGGACACACTGATAGCGAGAAATCCTCCAGTAACCACTTTTCAGGGGACCGGGTTAGCTTTGCCACACTCTTCATTGAAGTGTGACTGGACGCTCTACAATCATCTAGTAGCCAGCAGTGTTTGACTGACACCCCTACTGCAACTGGTTCTATTCAGTTCTACAGCGGAAGTTCTCAACACTCGAAAACAGTTCTCGGACATCCTGCAGAGATGCTTTTTCACAGCCTGCCCCATTACACGGGGAACCCTTAGATCTACAGTACCCTGGTGGACAGCATAGCTCACTAAAGCATAGTGGACCTCTTTAGTTCTGAGACGCAAAGCTAACCGGACCAGGAATAAACATCAATGCAATGCTTAGGGGATGCAAATAGGACATACAACGTTTAACGATTTACTCTAACTTTTGATTCATTTTTTAGCTCGACGATACATGGTATCATTTCAGGACAGATATTCCTTCTTCAGGTTCATTGAGGAAATCGTACCCGCTATTTGCGTTATACAATGGCAAGTATCTGGACTAATGATAACTTAGGATCTCAGATTCCCAGGCTGCATTTAAAGCGCTTAACAGCACCAGTTTTAACTCCAGGTTCGTTCTGAACATCTCAGACCAACTCAACTCACTAGGTATTCTCATCGAGTAGAACTTCGTTCCAGGACATGAAGGAGTATACGGTAAAGAACTAGCGGACGAATTCGCAAGGGACGATCAATCCAACAACATCCCCATAGGACCAGAACCCTTCCTCCCAATTAGGCCACACTCAGTGACAAAGGAACATTCCACTTGAGATGTTCCTCCACAAATATAAATACAGGAACTTTAATTTTTCTGGAACTCACATCAGATGGCTTACATGGTCGCTTTCAGGATAGGTCACAGCCCACTAGTTTATTTTCAGAACGTGGCAAACAACGTCAACTTCGAGACGCAAGATTGTGAACACTTTTCAGGAGAAGCAGAAACATCCCAGCACCTCCTCTGCAAGTGCATCCAGATCATGACGTTCAGAATGAGGATAATTGGTAAACTCTACCTTAAAATCAGTATTAAACTACAATCATATCTTCAAATTTGTGGAACAGTCGACAAGACTGGATAGGGAAAACCCTTATGGGTAACCTCCTAGGATTCTTCACCAGGAACTTTCGCTAAATCCCATACTAGGAACTCAACCTAGGCCCATCTCCGCATAGAGACATATCTCCCAGGCTTTGACCTTGCTCGGAAGTCCCTTGTCTGCCCGCAGAAGTACTACAACGGAAGTGGGTTTGCTCTGAGACAGGTAGTGACAGCTTCAAGACTCCAGGGGTCTGTTGCATTGATATTTATTATTTTATGATTTCGTATATACTTTGGGAGTCCTGGCGTGCAGCTAGCAGGAGTTGCATTCTGTGGGCACGGTGAGAAGGCCTCCATCTTTTAGTAAGAGGCCAGAAACCGTTGACCAGAACAGAGAGAGAGAGAGAGAGTACTAATTGAGCAAACTCCAAACACTCTTAAATATAGCATTAACAGGTAAATAGATACACTGTGCCCTAAAAATAGCACCACTATTGAGGAATAACAGTACTATTATGAATTGTCACGGAACTCTAACAGAAATTAAAATTAGTGGTAACAGATAGATACATTGTGCCCTAAAAATAGCACCACTATTAAGGAATAACAGTACTATTAAAATTATCACGGAACTATTATCACGGTACTATTATTAATTAAACGGTACTATTATAAATTATCACTTGCTAGTGATTTAGTCTTATGGGAACGTACGCACGGTAGAGCACAGCAAGGCCGACCAAGACAAAGCTACTTGTCTATGTTACTGAAGGAGGTTGGGACAAACTCTAAAGAGGAACTGCGAATCCTGAGGCGGGACAGAGATATATGGAGGGGGTTATCTGGCGTAGATTGGACTTAGTTCCGACATAGTAGTAGTAGTAGTAGTACAGTAGTATTATCACGCAACTCTAACAGAAATTAAAAATAGTGGTAACAGTAAGAGCTCTACTTCTAAAAGTTAAACCAAAACTTGAAAGTTAGAATTTATTGATACGAAAATTAAGTTTTACTTTTACAACTTGATCAATGTTAATTTCAGGTCACCGTGTTATTTGCCACAAAAAAAAATCAATCAATTCATAATTGTTGATAACATCGGAGGGAAGAAGTAGCAAGTCGTATTTACAATAATTTTTGTCTGTATAAAAGTTAATTTCATTTATTTAAACTTCGCCTTTATTACAGTTGAAAAGAGGTATCAAGTTGTTCAGAGACAGCCGTAATGTGTATAATGAGAATAGCACAGAACGGAAGACACTTACCAGACTATCTCTTCATATCAGTCACATGTTGTATGAACTACGAGCCCTCTTTCCTAACAGGTAAAACCTTTTTTTAAATATTTTTTATCAATAAACTTTCAAAATTTAAATGTTTACAAATACATCATTTTATTTCATAGAAAATTCGCCGAATGACCTTACATGCCTTGACAAGTGACCGATTATAAACATTATTTATTGATTCTAATTCCTTTATATTAAAGATTTATACCTTGATTTACTGTCACGATCAGATGCAAATATTACTCACGATTCACCTTTTCGTATACAAATAAATGTTCTTCTGGAGTTTCAATTATAAATATTATGTGTTTTAAAGATATTTTATCAATGTTTCAGTATTTTCATTGGAGCAGAGTTCCGAATCACAAAAGAAGAAGCTGCCGAATTCTGGAAGAATTCATTTGGAGACAAGTAAGTGACAAGTGTGATGACTGTCTAACCTACACATTATTACTGGTTTAAGTTAATTATCCATAAGTTAACACTTACAACATTCTTAAATTAAAGGAGAACCAAGCCAAAGCGAACTTTTGACTTTCGAGTTTCTGTAGGCAACACAGTGGATCGTAGTTTGTTACACAATGTAACACTGTGTTACACTGCGACTATTGGAAAAAAGTCGCATGTAGGAAGTGGAATCTGAGATGCGACTTTTTTTTTGTATGAGGAACTATCTAGTATAATATGTTACCTATTTCATACCCCACAATGAATAAAATATGTGGATTCTGGTGGGGAGTAATATATCTGTTACTCCAAAATCCACATCTATGTACAATGTACATTGTAAATTGTACACCCAGTGTACAAGTTTCACCTCAACATCGACAGTGCCGCATACAGCTATACAGGGTATACACTATACATGTTCTCTCAATTTTGACAGTCCAGTAGTACACAACTGTACAATATTCTGCACGTTTTGCAAAGCCCTCCCCTACCTGTTAAACTGTAAACATTGGAAACCAGATTCTTCAAATACCGGCCACATTCCAACAAGCGAATTAGACAAATCTACACATTAACTCCCTACTTTTCTATTATTTCAGCCTTCGCAAGAAGAAAACTTCTTGTAGTTAACAGCTTGTTCTGCAGAGCTTGTTTTCTTTATAATATCACATTAAAATACCGAATACGCAACAAAATGTGAAAAAGTAGTCAGACTAACCTGTAACTCCCTATTTAGTAGTCAGACTTTAACCTGTAACTCCCTATTTTTGTATATTTTACAAGAGTTGTACAACGTATAAGGGAGAAGAAAGTACCAGTAATATAGTACTAATAATTGTATACATTACGTGAGAGTTTTAGTTAATATAACTTGTATGTTTTACAGGAGTACTAGCTCCGTATCAAGGTATAAATGAGAATATTACCAGTTATACTAGTTTTAGTTGTAGTTGTACAAGAGTGTACCACGTGTTGTGTACCACGTGTTGTGTACCACGTGTTGTGTACCACGTGTTGTGTACCACGTGTTGTGTACCACGTGTTGTGTACCACGTGGTATAACACCACGTGTTGTAACCACGCCCTCCCCCTACAATTACAACACATGTCGTCACTTAGCACTGAGTGGAAGCAGTGCTATTGCAAGCTCGGCTTAAACCCATGTTAACTCTCTTTTAACGTCCGCTGTCACAGCGCTGAGGGGTTGTATTATGTACATTTGTTGATTGCTATGGCGACATCAGATGAGGCAGATGCAGAAGGAGGGGATATGAGGGGCTGGAGGGGGGACTATATTTACTATGGGGGAAGGGCCGGAGGGGGGGGACTATATTTACTATAGGGGAAGGGCTGGAGGGGGGCTATATTTACTATGGGGGAAGGGCCGGAGGGGGGGGGGACTATATTTACTATGGAGGAAGGGCTGGAGGGGGGACTATATTTACTATGGGGGAAGGGCCGGAGGGGGGGGGGGGACTATATTTACTATAGGGGAAGGGCTGGAGGGGGGCTATATTTACTATGGGGGAAGGGCTGGAGGGGGGCTATATTTACTATGGGGGAAGGGCCGGAGGGGGGGGGGGGACTATATTTACTATGGAGGAAGGGCTGGAGGGGGGACTATATTTACTATGGGGGAAGGGCCGGAGGGGGGGGGGACTATATTTACTATAGGGGAAGGGCTGGAGGGGGGCTATATTTACTATGGGGGAAGGGCTGGAGGGGGGCTATATTTACTATGGAGGAAGGGCTGGAGGGGGGACTATATTTACTATGGAGGAAGGGCTGGAGGGGGGACTATATTTACTATGGGGGAAGGGCCGGAGGGGGGGGGGGGGGACTATATTTACTATAGGGGAAGGGCCGGAGGGGGGGGGGGGGACTATATTTACTATAGGGGAAGGGCTGGAGGGGGGATATATTTACTATGGAGGAAGGGCTGGAGGGGGGACTATATTTACTATGGGGGAAGGGTCGGAGGGGGGCTATATTTACTATGGGGGAAGGGCCGGAGGGGGGGGGGGGGGGACTATATTTACTATGGAGGAAGGGCTGGAGGGGGGACTATATTTACTATGGGGGAAGGGCCGGAGGGGGGGGGACTATATTTACTATAGGGGAAGGGCTGGAGGGGGGCTATATTTACTATGGGGGAAGGGCTGGAGGGGGGCTATATTTACTATATGGGGGAAGGGCTGGAGGGGGGATTTATTTACTATGGGGGAAGGGCTGGATGGGGGCTATATTTACTATGGAGGAAGGGCTGGAGGGGGGCTATATTTACTATGGGGGAAGGGCCGGAGGGGGGCTATATTTACTATGGGGGAAGGGCCGGAGGGGGGCTATATTTACTATGGGGGAAGGGCCGGAGGGGGGCTATATTTACTATGGGGGAAGGGCCGGAGGGGGTTTAAATTACCATAGAGAGGTAAGGGAGCAAGTGAAGGCTAAGATTATTATTAGAGAATGAGTGGAGAGCTGACTCTGGGGAAGGCTGGGTGGGGGCTGCAATCAACGTTCTATATAATGAGTATCGTTGTTCTGACACATAGTTGGGATTATCATCATCTCAGCTCATAAATGTGTAATTCATCGTGGGCTGTGAAAACTTTTAAGTATAGGCGTATATAGTAGCACTTAACGTATTTACTTAGCAACTTGCCTGTAAACTATACAGTGTATAATACATACAGCTATACAGTGTACAATAAATTTCATGAAATATACACTTACAACAGCGCTTTGAGTAGGAAAATGATTTTTTGTTAGTAGTAACGGATGAGAATGGATAGACGTACTCTGTGACGTATAGCAATGTACTTTATCATATTTTTCTTATTTCCAAAGAAATGTTAAATAGTGTTGAAATGTGATATTCCGCTGTATAATAGTATAATGTAACTGCTACAGATTGTAAATAATCGCATAATCCAGTTCAAGTACGCTTGTGCGAAGTCATATGACAGTGCAGGACATTGAATGACAGGACATTGATTCGAATCTCAGAAGCTTTCAAATAAAATGTGTCAATCGTCTTCAGTCGACAATAAGTTATTTGTATTTCATTATCTCTTAATCTACAATATCTGTTGTTCTGTAGGATCAAGATGACGTGGTCATAGTTTAATCAAAGCGTAAAGTGTCAACAATTCACCATGCCTGTGCCTTAGTTAAACCAATTAAGTCGCTTAGTTGAGACAATTACATCACTTAGTTCAAGCCATTATATAATTAAAATCAACAAAAGTAGCACGCAATTGTATTAAGACTTGAGTAATACAAGGGAGTGACGGGTTTTATAATTACCAGCATAATTAGCGGAGTAGAACTTCGAAATTTACAGCGCGGCTCAGGTTCATGGCGTTGTATTCTTATTTTGCTAAATACCGACTTTGTCGAGTAGATTAGGGGGGGGGGGGGGCGGGGCCGTGGGGGGAGTACTGGGCCTAGACTAACTCTCCTGTGTTCTGCTCCCAGTTCATTCCATGGCCAGTAAGGTGGGCCAGTAGCATGAAACACTTGTCTCTCGTTTGATTTATAACCGTACCCTGAATTACTTAATGCTTAATGTGCGTCAAATAGCAGCTCCATATAAAATACTCTAACTAAGGGTTTGTGGTTGAAAAACGTGAACTGTTTAGAAATCAGAGCTTCTTAATGAACGATTTGACCCGTTCCTCGGTTTGAAGAATTTCTTGAAGCAGGTCCAAGTTGGGATGTTCCGAGCACATATTTTAACAGTGTACAAGTACAACCTGATATATATAACAACACAGGCAGTACGTAAGTAGTAGGAGTATATGGAGAGTAGGGGAGGAACTGTTTAAAAGTGCTGAAGACTTAGTAGGCATGTTGCAGTTACTAATGGTAATGCGCTGTAACTAGTGGTAACTAATGGTAACGCGCTGTAACTAGTGGTAACTAGTGGTAACTAATTATGGTAACACGCTGTAACTAGTGGTAACTAATGGTAACACGCTTTAACTAGTGGTAACTAATTATAATGGTAACACGCTGTAACTAGTGGTAACGCACTGTAACTAGTGGTACACGCTGTAACTAGTGGTAACGCGCTGTAACTAGTGGTAACGCGCTGTAACTAGTGGTAACTAGTGGTAACTAATTATGGTAACACGCTGTAACTAGTGGTAACTAATGGTAACACGCTTTAACTAGTGGTAACTAATTATAATGGTAACGCGCTGTAACTAGCGGTAACGTGCTGTAACTAGTGGTAACAAGTGGTAACTAGTGGTAACGCGCTGTAACTAGTGGTAACGCGCTGTATATTTAGTATTTACAATGTATGGAATACTTGAATTGGAGTAGTTAGTAGTATACATCATATTATACTGTTTGTGGAGTCATGCAAAATAGTTATAATCGTCGATCTTAGGACTCTCGAATCAAAGGAATAATTGAATGATAGAGAAAACTTATGACTATGTTCTTTCATTAACTGGACTCTAGTTCAAACCTAAAATCGCACTATAACCGAAGCCTTCGCAATCTTATGACTTGTTAAATTCTCTAGTTATTTAATTATTCGGTCATTCACAAAGTTAATCTCTAAATAAATCACATTTTCAGAGTGATTGTATCTTGGAAAGATTTCCGAATGTCGCTGTCGAATGTGCACCCAATAACGAGTAGCTACGAGGCTATGGCTCTGAAGTCTACCATCGACCTTACTCACAATGACATGGTTTGTTCAGCCACTGAGGGACCAGGGGGGGGACCTTACTCACAATGACATGGTTTGTTCAGCCACTGAGGCCAACTGAGGGGCCGGCCCGGAGGGGGGGACCTTACTCACAATGACATGGTTTGTTCAGCCACTGAGGGGCCGGGGGGGACCTTACTCACAATGACATGGTTTGTTCAGCCACTGAGGGCAACTGAGGGGCCGGCCCGGAGGGGGGGACCTTACTCACAATGACATGGTTTGTTCAGCCACTGAGGGGCCGGGGGGACCTTACTCACAATGACATGGTTTGTTCAGCAACTGAGGCCAACTGAGGGACCGGCCCGGGGGGGGGGGGGGGGGGGGGGCTGGGATTGTTCGACCTTACTCACAATGACATGGTTTGTTCAGCCACTGAGTGGTTTGTTCAGCCACTGAGGGGCCGGCCCGGAGGGGCCGGGTGGGGGGGTTTGGGGCTTGGATTGTTGGCGCTAAACAATCAGAATATTACAATGGCATAGCTTGGCGGGTCACAAATCTGCCCTCCCTTACCACAGATAATAGAGCCAGTTCTCGCATCATAAATACGCCTCATTATCTAATATTTATCCATATTGTATAGTGTAAATATTATTTTTATATCGTCAGAAAACACCTATCTTTCTCGTGATATGTTTTGCTAACAACTGTGATCGTGTGATCTATCTAACTTCGTTTGGTAACTAGTGGTAACTAGTGGTAACTAGTGGTTACGCGCTGTAACTAGTGGTAACTAATGGTAACTAGTGGTAACTAGTGGTAACGCGCTGTAACTAGTGGTAACGCGCTATTATATGTTTTGCTAACAACTGTGAAGGTGTGATCTATCTAACATTGTTTGATCTAAATTGTCATGTTATCTTGTATTCCTTACTTTGTAGGGCAGTAGTTAAGTTATTATCTATCACATGTTATCTCGTTAAATATGTAATTATCTAACACATATCATTATCTCTAGGTATCAGTGTTCGAGTTTGATGTGTTTACTCGGCTCTTTCAACCGTGGGATACTCTCTTGATAAACTGGAAAATGTTAGCTGTAACACACACAGGTGAGAGAGAGAGACAGTTACAATAGTTATGGTAAATAGTGTAGGTTCGGTTCAGAAACGGCACTAGCTAGAGTTATGATAACCCCGCCCGAAATACCGTAGTTTCACTGCTATTATGATCTTGTAGATGTAAGCAAATATGTTAATTATTTGATAACGATTAAATTAACGACGCGACACACGCTACAAATGACCAAAAAGTGGAAACTCCTCCCAAAGTAGCGTTTCCTGGTCTCTTTTACATATCTTCTCACATATTTCACATATCTTCTAACATATTTCGCATAATATCTTCTCACATATTTCATGTGATATCTACAGGTTACCAGGCATTTCTGACGTATGGTGAGGTAAAAGAGCGGTTACAGAAATACATTCATAAACCTGGAACGTAAGTAACCTAAAAGGGGATATAAATAAATAATAAATGAATAAAATAAATTTTCATCCAGCACAGTTATAATATAATAAGTTGAATTTTTCTCTCAAATTTCTCCATCCTCCTCCAAATTTGAATTTTTCCTAACACCAACTTATCCTGTGTATACAATGAATTATAACTTGTACAGTAAAATAGTAGTAACAGTAGTATATAGTTTGATGCTTCCAAACTTGATACACTCTTAATCACATTCCAACGAGTGTCAAGTAGTAACACATACGAAAGTAACAACAAATTACAAAACAATCTCACCTCATTATCAATTACAAATTACAAAGTTACAAAACAATCTCACCTCATTATCAATTACAAATTACAAATTACACGTTACTTTAAACCCCCTCCTCATTACAAATCACACGTCAGTCCTGTGTAACACTGGGTGTTAAGTACCCTCATTAGTCCCTCACTCCTACATAGACAGACCTGTATAGTAGGACTATAACACGGTGTATATACAGTGTATTAGAGAAGTAGGACTATACCGTATACCGTATAATCCCAGTGCAGTGTATACCGTATAGTATATACCGTATAGTCCTACTTCTCTCTCCTTCTTACTGAGAACAGTATAGGTAGCTAACTTAGCTACCTATGCTGTTTAAGCTAACTGTGTTATAGTAGCTGTGTGTTAGACAGTGCTCTCTCTTTGTACCTCTTGTTGAACAGTGTAGAGAACCAGGCACGTTACCATGGTAACAGTGTAAATCATACACATACAGCTCCTAAACGTGTAGTGTAGTGTGTACTTGAAGCAATCCTTACTTTAAACTTATCACGTACCGTCTAGATGTAAGGAATTACTAAACCATTTAATTATTGTGATTACATTTGGGGGAGAGGAAATACCCGCAGTAAACGGGAATCAGAATGTTACTACTTACAAGCACGACCTCGTGTCCCATTCAGGTCCAGCTTCTCTTTTTAAAAAAGAGAGAAAGAAAAGAATACACGACCCTTGAAATTTCACAATAATATAAACTTTAACGTACAATGTAGATGCGTCCTATGCGTAAAAATATGTCATTTACATTTTACATGTCACACTACACCAGCTATAGAATGTAGATCGTTATTGATGTTTAATTAAAGAAACACCACTCTTGGACGCAAATTATAACCCATCTTACTACGTGAACTACAATCCTTCTGTACTAACATCTCAATATATATTAGTGTATTGAGTAACTCCGTCATTCAATACACTATATAGCTATATGACATTGTGTCCGTCTGAGATTGTAAACACTTCAAGAATCAGTGGTTGCGTCAGCGTTATCTGTTAAAGCTCGTCTTCTAGAACTTGGGCCTATTAAAGCACCGAAACCATTTAAGTTCGTAATATGTTGTAAATATTGTCGTGTTTGAGCAGCTCTGTTGCAACGTAAAGTAGGCAGTACTACAGGGTGTTTCAAAAATACATTATATATGTACAGGGTGGGCCAATAGTCAGTACCCATACGTTAGCCTTTATAGCTCAGTCACTGACTGCCCAATTGAAATAATTCTTTCTGGTATGACTTAATACCACCACTGGTTCGAGGAATTTGTCAACTCGAAAAATATTCGTGTTCATTTTTTTCAAATGAAGGTTAATTTTCGCATTTATTTGATAATTTGGATAGTCGGATCGAGCTAAATTTTACTGAATTGTGTTTGGCCATTTGAATTACGTTTGTCCTGAAAAAATTAGAGTTATAGCTTCTCAGATGACCGAGATACGAAGCATAACGAGTTTATTCATTACATGTGATCAGGTGATTGGCTTACCTAATCACGTGATAAGGTGACCCCCGTTAACCACCCCATTAAACATTATGGGAATTGTTAAGGCTGCCCAATTAAGGTGTCGTGTCACGGTGTCACATAATCACCCAATCAATTTTGCTAACGAGATACACAAAATCCTTGATATCTTCGTCATTTCTAATCCATTTCACATATTTTTTTCAGATAAGATGCAAAATGTAATAATCTACCGTCTCAGAAAAAAATTAGGAGTCCAACATGTTCAGAGAGAACAATATAGGTGTTTTAATATTGAATGGGCGTGGTCTAAAATATTCGAATTTTCAAATTTTGGCGACGGAATCGTCGAACAAGTAGGTACAGTATGCCATCTGCAAAGCAACAACTCTCAAATATAAAACACGGCGGAGGTATAAGACCCAACGTATGGGTACTGACTTTTGGCCCACCCTGTATATTATGTGCGTCAGAAAACTCAAAGCAGTTCAACAAACAACACCTCTTGTGCCAATGGGGGTACTATCTTGAGGTTCAATTGTACAGCTCATAAAATAGCACTTGAACGAGATAGATTTGAACAAAAGACCAATCTTTCTTGCATGCCTACCTTCATTTTGAAGAAAGCAAGATATTAAAAAAAAACCTCTGATCTGGACTCAAGCACTTAAAATTGATAATGGGCTTCTCGGAATATCATCACGATTTGGCACCTTCCCCTGTTCATGCATATAAGAGAGATGGGCAGAGTCAATTTGCCACATTTTAGTTTTTGACTACAGTAGTAGAGCTCCGATCATCAAATCCAAATGTTTTCCAGTTCAAACCTTCTCTGCGTCTTAGCTTTCTGGGTAGCTTGTTGGTTTTTGGCATCTGTAAATGCATTGTCCCCTGTAGTAAACATGACTACCCTTACAAGGGTATTGGATGGTGAGACCCCTGTATTTGGTCCCATTGAGCGAATGTTATCCAAGGTGTTCGAGAGGCAGACCTGCACCGAGCTGGTGACTCAGTGGGGACTTCCTCTGGCAATCCGACATTCTGATCTTTTCCTTCAAATAGATCTTGCTGAGAACCTGACTGAGAATGGTACTATGATTGATAATAAGGATGGGTACTCCACGTGCTTTGACGGGAATAGCTCAGCCACGTTGGGTTGTGCCATATCCAACAAATGGAAGTGTGACGGTTACTCTTCGTGCCTGACAGATGAATGCGGGTGCGGGGAGGACACCTTCAAGTGTGCTGATGGTAGAGGATGTATAACAATCAGCCAGCTGTGTGACAGTAAGCTCGATTGTCTTGATTACAGTGATGAGTGTGCTTGTCATGATTACCAACAGTGTCAGAGGATTATTTACTTCAACAAGGAGAGAACCAACGCGTCAAATGTCTGCTTCATAACGCCGAATTGTTCGAAAATTTTGGCTCAAGAAACTGCGAGCGAAATTTTGAAGTTGAACAAAAATTTGTTTTTGGAAGTTACGTGGCAATCCTGGTTAGATAAGTTACCACAGAAAAAAAACAAAAATCTCCAACAAGTATAGACCCAGCAGAATTAGAAAATTGCATAAACAACACAACTCTTGGCTTCCATTGCAAAAAGATTGAATCAGGGCTTGACCCCACCTACAACTGTACTGAAACCTCCTCAATTGAACTGACTTATGACTCAACGCAAACATCGTCAAAATCTTTCGTTTTCTGTGACCGAATCAAAAACTGCAAAAACGGTGTTGATGAACAACATTGCCCTGATACATTCTACTGCAAATCAAACCAGCTTCCAGTTCCCAAGAAGCTAACCTGTGACTCTATCCCGGACTGCTCTGATTCCAGTGATGAGTGTGATAACTGTACCATGTCCTCCTACTTCTCATCTCAAACGAGCCTGATAGCCAGCAAGACCATGATTGTTGTAATGATGGTAGAAACACTGGGCATATTTTGTTTAAATGCATATGCTATTTCGTACCATATCATGAGATACGGGAATGGCAAGCGCACATCACTGAAGATAGACATAGTGCAGTGCGTGACGTTGGCAGTGTACGATGTACTACTTGCAGTGTATTTGCTCATAGTTTGTTGGAAGCATTGGGAGTTTGAGGGGGAATACTGTCTACATGATGTGTCTTGGAGGTCATCAGTTCTGTGCAAGGTGTCAGGAGCATTAGCATTTGCCTCGACCCATGGCGCACTGCAAGTTGCTGTGGCTACTAGTGTGTGTAGGAGTTACACCTGCATTAAGGGACTCGGGGCCCAAGAAATTAAATTCCAACAATTTTCAGTGCTTTACATTATTATGAATATATTTAATGTTGCAATGGCTCTGTTGCCTTTAATAGCTACCTTTACCAGTTTTGAGTGGGCAGCTGCTTTTGTCCATGAGTACTTTTTCAAAAGTAATCCACTCATCAGAAGGGGAAGAAAGGCAGATTTAGCTCTGCTGGTTAGCCTTTACAAAAGGTTGGATCTCAACACTACACTTCAGTACACCACTAGTGATCTGTTGAAGTGCTGAGGAACATGACCTGGCAAGGTGAGTTGTTCTCCTCTGACAAGATGACTTCAGTTGGCCTCTATGGAGCATCTTCAATGTGCTTTCCTGACTTGTTTTCAACTGAAGGCTCAATGCTTACATACAAGATAGTTTATGTGGTTGAAAACTCCATCTATCTACTTCTCATAGCGATTTGTTATCGTTGCATAACCCGCGAATTCCTGAAATCCAAAGCAGCAGTGAATCCCTCAAATAACCAGGATCTTGACAACACTCCGGAAACTGACAGAGCATTCTTTCTCTCCTTCAAAGTTTCCATCCTCGTTGGATTACAAGTTGCTTGCTGGTTTCCTGTTCACGTGACAATGATTGCAAGTCTCCTTGGAAAGACAATACCTCATCATATTACTGATATTCTGACTATGACAGTAGTGCCACTAAACGCGCTCATGAACCCGATACTGCACACGGATCTACTGAAGAGGGTTTTTTATCTTGCTTCAGAGAAAGTTTTGTGTATGAAGGAGTGGATGATGGCCACTTTCCAATACTGTCCAGATGCAGATGCTGATCAGTTTGAACTCAATGAACGTTGAGTTCTGAATTGAAAAGAAAAAGATGGTTCTTTGTCCTGAAACTGTTTCGCCAGACTTTTAAATAAAAGTATCAACATTTAAATGTCATATTTACAATCCAAACACTTGGCTGGTTTCGTATGTTGAATATCTAAGTTTATTTTAGTTGCTTGTAGTTATTGTTCAGTAATCCGTGCGCTAAGAGTTAAAGTGGTGTGATCACGTGACTACATTTCCCTCATTTGCTTGACTGTGATTTTTAGTTCCTTTAGATTTAAGAACGAGCTACTTACTTACTTATGGTGTTGTCAGACGAAATTTTCATCTGAGATGCGATGATCACTAAAATTTACTTCACTTTTTCATGTGTATTCTCTCTACTTTGACTTTTACGAGCGGCTTTTCTTGAGGTTATACCATGATATGTATGTACCATGATGTACTATAATGTACTATAGACCATTACGGGAAGAACGATGATTACCTAACCAACATACATGACATAAGAAACACTACGTATATTGAGCAACTGTATATAATTGTCTAGATTTGTATTGTAAACTGTCAGAATGTACCCTACACATTTATATACAATAATACAGCTGCTGTGTACTAGTTTTCATCATACATCTCGCGATAACACACTGCCAAACCAGCTGTAATCAGTGACATAATCACCATGAAAAAAGTCTGGTACATTACTCGTTGTAGGAGATGCTGTTGAGTGTAGATATTATAATATTGAGTTATAACTTTATAAGTAGAGTTAACAGATGAATTTGTAGAGTTAACAGATGAATTCGGCTCTCTGAGATCACTGAAAATCGTACTGATTTCTTATGTCTAATCTGATGAGGACAAAATTCCAATAATCGTGGACTTAGAGGCCAACTTCATTACAATTTACATGACAACACTGTAAAGTTAACTTTACATGTTATAAATATTATGATGCAGGACATAATTTATGATAAAATACACTGCATAGTGTTAAGTTAAGAAGTTAAGGTAAGTAGGAAGCGAATTGTCTGTAATATACGCTGCTATATTTACTCCGGGTACATTGTATTGTTTTTATTTGTTATTACCGTTATCACAACTGTATCTAAGTGGGTTAACATAAGATAATATTATATTAAGATAATATTATGTTCGTAAGTACCGTACAGTTGCAAACTACAATGCAATAGTTTTATGAAAACCAAGAAAAAAAAGTAGCGCGGCTTTAAATACATCACTAACAGCCAATCAGAAAACACTATTCACACCACGTGACAGAAACCAACCAATCTAAGCCCAGTATTCACACCACGTGACAGAAACCAACCAATCTAAACACCGTTTTTGTTTCAGGTACATATTCCGCTTATCGTGTACCAGACTGGGACAGTGGGCTATTGGCTACGTTACAAACGAACACGAGATCTTGCAGACAATACCACAGAACAAGAGCTTGTGTGAGGCCCTGATTCTCGGTGCTCAGGAGGGATAGTAAGTTATTAACTTATTGATCAACATATTATTTTAATTAACTGATTTAATTGTACTCTTTTTGTTCTTCGAAGGGGGCTGTGGTCAAGATGATCACTGTAAGAATCATGGAGCCCTGTGCCTACCCCGTTAAAATTAAGTAAAAGTTAAACTTTAAGTTTTGTGAAACGTTTCGGCGAGTTCTTGAAACCGATAATGTTTGGGAATTAGTAGATGTCCACTATGTCTGTCACACTGAGATAAAAGGAGTATCCTCCTCGTTGGAAATACCACCATTAGTTGTATCCCTAGTATCTGTTTAAAACGATCGCTGTTTTTGTTTATTGATCCCTATTGACTGTTAATCATTGAATTACAAAACTTTAACGTTTCTGAACGATGATAAAGCTGTAGTAGTTTCCAACACAGCTACCTGTATCCGGACGGCAAGGAACAGAACCCAGACCTGACAGTCATACAACACGAGAAACAGAAGAAAGTGATACAAGTCACGGAGGAGGAGTATGAGATTTATACAAGCATGGGATCTACTTTCCAACAGTGCAAGGTTGGTGTCTGTAACTAGTAGCGTAGGTGTGTATTTTGTTGCTGTGGGTAGAGAGGTTACTAGTAGCGTGTACCATTATTTGTTTTTACTCAGTGAGAAATCCCGACAACATCGAGCATTTTGTGAGCCAATTTGTCGTCCTGTGATATCATAGGTGTGGGACCTTGTGAATAATTCTGCAATGTTTACTTGTAACCTGATTACTGTAAAGGGGTAAACTAAAAACGCCCAATTATTTCTTTCGGCTTTTGAAGTTAAATGTCGGCCTATTTCTGTTGTGTATATTATGCTAACAAATCGACCAGTGCTCGCTAAAATATTATTACATAGATAAAATGAAATGTTGTTATTACAGCTGAGTAATCGCGTTTGTTGGCACTTGGCTTGCTTTTCCATGATATTGGAATTTGTTCCCCGGTTTGTCACTGAATGCTGCGCGCCGCGAACTGCACTTTAATTTCATTGTGATGTGATGAAAGTTTTCAATAGCGGCATAGTGGTCGCACGCGCGTACTTTTTAGCTCTCTGTTGATTGCTGGAACGCGACATATTTACTCTTCCGGTTTTGTTTTTGAGTGTATCATTCTGTGAAATTTAAGTTCCTTCAACATTAAGGGGGGGGGGGGGGGGGGGGGGGGGGGGGTTCACCCTGATTTTTTTGTGAAACTTGGTTTCGAGATAGCAGCTGACCAACAAACTAACACCGGTGACCGAACTTTTGAGGGGGTCCCGGACGCCAAACGGTGCCCGCGGGGCAGCCACGCCCATATTTGGTCTAAATTAGGCCCAATTTAGCCAAATACCCTGAACATGCCCAAAACCCATATTTTATGTGCTCTACTTGTAGCTAGTGGTCTCTTGAACTCGTATATGAATTTTCACCAAGATTGGACAAAAAATGACTGAGTTATGAGCCAAAAACCATATGACCATATTTGGGCATACGCACCAAATATGATCGATTTTGGCCCATAAATTGGTAAAATATAAATATTTTTGAATGAAACCAACTTTATATGGAAGGTAAGCCTATACTACACATTCTCTATGATTATCAGCTCAATATCTAACTTACTGTGGATTCTGTGTTCAAATAATCGCAAAAAATGAATAAAATCGCCTATATCTCAGTTCGCGATAATTGCAAAACTGATTTCGCTCAAAACAATAGAACTCAATAGGGTTTCAATATTTTTACATGAAATTTTCAGAATCAACGTAGAATCGCATTTCGACCTTAAGTTTTGTATTGGAATTTTGAGTTAGGCCTTTAAAAGAATTTGGCGGCCAAATTCTGAATTTCGCATTGCAAAATTTGGAATTTGGCTGCCAAATTTTTTTAAAGGCCTAACTTTAAATTCCAATACACAACTTAAGGTCGAAATGCGATTCTACGTTGATTCTGAAAATTTCATGTAAAAATATTGAAACCCTATTGAGTTCTATTGTTTTGAGCGAAATCAGTTTTGCAAATATCGCGAACTGAGATATGGGCGGTTTTGTTCATTTCTTGCGATTATTTAAACACAGAATCCACAGTTAGTTAGATACTGAGCTGATAATCATAGAGAATGTGTAGTATAGGCTTACCTTCCATATAAAGTTGGTTTCATTCAAAAATATTGATATTTGACCAATTTATGGGCCAAAATCGATCATATTTGGTGCGTATGCCCAAATATGGTCATATGGTTTTTGGCTCATAACTCAGTTATTTTTTGTCCAATCTTGATGAAAATTCATATACGAGTTCAAGAGACCACTAGCTACAAGTAGAGCACATAAAATCTGGGTTTTGGGCATGTTCTGGGTATTTGGCTAAATTGAGCCTTATTTGGACCAAATATGGGCGTGGCTTCCCCGCGGGCACCGTTTGGCGGTTGGGGTCCGGGACCCCCTCAAAAGTTCGGTCACCGGTCCTAGTTTGTTGGTCAACTGCTATCTCGAAACAAAGTTTCACAAAAAAATCAGGGTGAACCCCCCCCCCCCCCCCCCCCCCCCCCCCCCCTTAAATGTTGGAAGTGTCACTTCTCGAGGGTGCGCAGTAACCTACTCTCAGGTTAAAATCTCACCTCAAATCCTCCAAATTTCAGATCTGCCAAGAAAACGACAAGGACGTTAAACTACAACCCTGTGCTCATCTTCTGTGTTCCGAGTGTCTGTTCCAGTGGCAGGAGCACGATAAATCGAGCTCTCTAACCTGTCCCTTCTGTCGAGCTCAAGTCAAGGACTACGAGCACGTAGAAGTGGACCCCTTCCAGTAAGTTTTCGTTTTGAATTGGATTGTTCTACAAGAGCATGGTTTAGGATGTTCTTAAAAGTTTCGTGGGTTTCAGCTGTATTTGTAGTGAAATAAAACTATCAGTTTGTTTAACAGACTGCTTATTATCTTGCTACATGCATTTGGTCGGTTTACACCCATCTCCTGTTTTGTTTCCTCAGTTTTATCCCGGGAACTTGGTTATTTCTGGCGTGTTTGAACTGCTAAAATTTATTTACTTTTTCACTTCTAGTGGCAGCGTTACAACCATACAAAAGTCGAGGTAATGTTATGCTATCCAACTGCAGATATCACTAAGAGAGGCTGAGCGCTTTTAATTCATTTTCGTTTCTGTCTTCCAGTCATGTTTTCTCCTTCAGTCCCCTCTACAGCATTTAATGTTAGCATGACGTGATCTATTGTTGTACGCACTTTTTGCGAGGTTCCAAACCGTCTAGAAGATTCTTTAATAGTAGCCTAGCATCGCAACAGCTACAAAGCTGTGCTGCACACTTGATGTTTCCATATTTTTAATCTACCTTACTCGGGATTATTATGACCGGGATAAAGTGGTGGGTTTAGGGTAATTTCGCCATATTTTTCCCGAACCACATTTTCACCGGTCGTTAATAAACCCGCCTACTCAGCTTTTAGGGTTCCCAAGGGGTATGGGTGCTCATATTTTAATCGTTGTCTTATATTCACTAAAGAAGACTATTGGGACACTTGTTGTAGGTTTTTCGACTTCATTTGGCTAAAATTGCAAAAAATTCACCTTTTTGCCCAATTCTTGTCATATATCCTTATTGTCAAATTTGATTTAAATAGGCCAATTTTTAATTTCTTAGGTATTGACTATCTCTACATAATGAAATAGGACTCAAAGTAAAAGTAACAGTTAAATTAAAACTTGAATTAATTAAAACTGATGAAAGGGATGATCCAGATGAAGATAACGAAGATGATTACAACTTATTGGAAGACTAAACAGCTCTCCCTTTATCTTAATATCGATCTAGTTGTTACGCTTCAAATGTTAAAAATTATTTTCCATCTAGTTTGATTAACCACGAGTCATTATTTCTGTCTACTTTCAACAATTATTGATAATTCGACTTGTTTCACAAGTTTTAGCAATGCGAAAATTTCTAAACTTGCTTATCTCTAATAAGGAAATTTACATCTGAGACAAAATTTTTGAATCTAAAATTGAAAGGTTGGACACCGGTAAAATGGCGACCGGGAAAATGTGGTGGGTTTTGAGCAATTTCGCCATATTTTTCCCGAACCATATTTTAACCGGTCGTTAATAAACCCGTCGTAATAATCCCGAGTAAGGTATATTCTATATTCGACACTCCACCGCCCAAATTCTCGAAGTAAAGCATTATTGTTACACATATTTGTATATTTGACGTGAATTGTGTAATTTTGTAATCTCTTATAAAACGGAAAGCTATGTACAGGTACGTCTTACAACAGCACTTATTCATGAAATCTAATTTCCAGCTGATTAATATTTCATTTCAACGAACATTTTCAAATAATTGTTTCTTCGAAAAGAGCCCCCAAGTGGGGTCAGCACTTCTCCCACTCAACCATATCCGTGTCACAGGAAAGAGACCAACAAGTTAGCACGAGTTGCAGAGGTAGTAGTAGACGGAGCTGGACCGAGTAGAGCAGCTCCACCTATACCAGGCGCTCCACCCATCCCAGATAGGCGGACTAGTGTTAAACAACAGGTAAGGAGACTCGGCATCTGGATGTTATGTGGATGGGGGCGGGGATTAGGATTGTGAAAAAGTTGTGATTTTAGGAATATGAGAGTTTTTTAGATTATGAATTATAAATGCTGCTTTATCCTTTCGCAAAGCTGTACTGATCATATCCTGTGAGGTGTGAGCTTCATAATTGCACACGAACAATCCCAGTACACTCTATGAACTCAATTCACACAACTTTAAGATAACTTAAAACATCACTAAAAACTCTGCACTTGAACTCGAAAACTCCCCACTCATTAGAACTCTCTGGCACACTCACTATAACACTCACTAAACCACTAATTGCACTAAAGCTGTCCAGACACTAACTACCTCCTGAACTGCCCCCACTACACCACTACACGAATACAGTCTCGCTTAGAACACTCAAAGTTGAGCTAATGCTGCTTTTCAGTCTAGTAGTGGTGGGAGCCCAATCAAGGGGCAAGCTCCCGCGCCGCCCTCCATCCCTCGCAGACCGGGTGACAATGAAACACTCGTGCCGTCCCGCCCGCCTCCCTTACCACCTGTAAACACCATGCCCAAAGTACCTGATCCTTTCCAGGTGCCGAGAAATATATATGCAGTTTATTTATCTTTTTTATACTGTGATTTTTGGTTCACGCATCTTTTTTTTACTGCCGCGAACCTGTTTTAACACTTAAATGATTGTTTCTCAATCTATAAACTGCTGATAAGAAGTTTTTAAAAACTGTTGAACTGAAAAACCTAACATTCTACAATTATAATAAATATTCTGAACTCATCAAATTTTCCGTGTGCGCCTCCTCACTAAGCACCCTCATAGCCTCCTCCCGTGACGAGCCAGCCACCACCCATGCCAGGGCAGAACGCGCTGCACATAGCACCCGCACCCCCGCCCATCCTCACCGCACCGCCGGGCGGCGCTCCCAGCCTCCCTCTCAGCCAGCCTCCTCCTCTACACAGTACCCCTGGGAACGACTCTTTCTCTTCCTCGGTTAGTTTAAGCTGGTTGTGTTACTAAAAGAACAGTAATAATATAATAATTAACGTATGCGTCAGTTATTTAGTATAATCATGAGCAATGAGCATGCTGCAATGACTTGATGTTATGTTATCACGTATGTGACCGATGTGCATGTGTAGAAATAGGCCATGGTGCTGTAGTTGAGGATACAGATATGTTAGGGAGAGAGCGACTTATAATTTAGTAGGCTATTTAGACTGCTACTAGACTTAGATCTAGACTAATAACCTGCCTGTAACCTGCCTGATATATTAAGACTAAATTTACATAAATCTAATAATGTCACCTGCTGATGCTGGTTGAACTCTGTAGTATGACTGTGGCCGTTGCATTGTGTGTTCCTAGCTCATGAACAATTCAATAACTGCTTAAAAAGTCAAAAGCATGGATCGTGATTACCAGAACCAAGCATGTGCATCTAGATATTATGGAGTTTACAATTTAATTTCATGGCGTGAAGTAAGAAAGAATTTCCTCCACAATTACAAGGTGCCACATTGTGATGAATAAGTAATGGGGTATATAAATTAATGTATACGAATAGTTAACCTGGGCTTAGTATTGTTACCCTGTATAGTGTACCTACTAGGGACCCAAGAACCCTGTGCCTTTCCTTGCATCCGCTTACACTCGAAAGAATAGCACAATAGCCCTAACAATACACTGTAAGCTCTCCGATCTTCTCGACCAATGACAGCTCGGTATAAACGTCACGTGATAGCTCTCTACCAATGGGTAACGTGACAAGTGGCAAGTGATCACGTGGTTTCTTTACAGCACAATAATGTTATGTTCCCCAGATGAGCGCGACCAACCCCTTCTTTTCTGATGTTCAAGCGTTACGCAGCCAAGATCCCCCTGGATTGACAGGTAAGAGAACAGCTTCCCGCCTTTTTGTAATTAATTACCCTGATTAATTACTCCTAATTAATTACTGGTTCTTTATTTGTCTTTATTGTTAGTCAGTTTCTAGCAGTTTCTGCTCTACGTAATATATGAGCAATCCTTTAGTTGCTTAGTTACTACATAATATTAAGTTAAGTTACTAAATTAGTTACTATTAGTTACTATCTAACTATCCTGGTTTTCATTTTTCAGATTAGACCCGCACTTTGTAATTATACCGATCAATCTGATTTACGCTCACCGTATTGTATGCCAGGGGTACAGTGCAGTGTACCCGGTACAGTGTACCCGGTACAGTGTACACGGTACACCCCTGTTGTATTGTATACCTAGAGTATCTAGACTATGCTTGGAGCCTCCAGGTCGTTCTGTCAGGCATCACCTAGCTTGCTAGTCAGGCATTACCTAGCTTGCTAGTCAGGTATTACCTAGCTTGCTAGTCAGGCATTACCTAGCTTGCTAGTCAGGCATTACCTAGCTTGCTAGTCAGGCATTACCTAGCTTGCTAGTCAGGCATTACCTAGCTTGCTAGTCAGGCATTACCTAGCTTGCTAGTCAGGCATTACCTAGCTTGCTAGTCAGGCATTACCTAGCTTGCTAGTCAGGCATTACCTAGCTTGCTAGTCAGGCATTACCTAGCTTGCTAGTCAGGCATTACCTAGCTTGCTAGTCAGGCATTACCTAGCTTGCTAGTCAGGCATTACCTAGCTTGCTAGTCAGGCATTACCTAGCTTGCTAGTCAGGTATTACCTAGCTTGCTAGTCAGGCATTACCTAGCTTGCTAGTCAGGCATTACATAGCTTGCTAGTCAGGTATTACCTAGCTTGCTAGTCAGGCATTACATAGCTTGCTAGTCAGGCATTACCTAGCTTGCTAGTCAGGCATTACCTAGCTTGCTAGTCGGGCATTACCTAGCTTGCTAGTCAGGCATTACCTAGCTTGCTAGTCAGGCATTACCTAGCTTGCTAGTCAGGCATTACCTAGCTTGCTAGTCAGGTATTACCTAGCTTGCTAGTCAGGCATTACATAGCTTGCTAGTCAGGCATTACCTAGCTTGCTAGTCAGGCATTACCTAGCTTGCTAGTCGGGCATTACCTAGCTTGCTAGTCAGGCATTACCTAGCTTGCTAGTCAGGCATTACCTAGCTTGCTAGTCAGGCATTACCTAGCTTGCTAGTCAGGCATTACCTAGCTTGCTAGTCAGGCATTACCTAGCTTTACCTAGCATTACCTAGCTTGCTAGTCTCTTGTTCTCTTTGTCCCACGCACAGGGATTGGTGCACCAGGTAATGTCAGGCTATGAATTATTATTATTCATGATCACTGATCAGTTAATGAGATATTGTCAGATTCTTGGTACCGATTTCATGGACTCGCTATTCATGTCGATACTAATGATTATGACTATCTAGATCACAGTAGTAGTGGTACAGTAGTATTATAGTAGTATCACAGTAGTAGTTTTACAGTAGTATTACAGTAGTATTACAGTAGTAGTGTTACAGTAGTAGTGTTACAGTAGTAGTGTTACAGAATAAGTGTTACAGTAGTAGTGTTACAGTAGTAGTGTTACAGAAGAAGTTTTACAGTAGTATTACAGTAGTAGTGTTACAGTAGTATTTGAACTTCAGAACATGACCTGCTTTACAGTACCTGGGTACCAGGAAATGAGGAACCAGTGCAGCTGTTAACTATTAGTCACAGCTGTTCGTAACTACTACTGTCCTGAGTCCATTCCATCAGCCATGTATACTGCATTAGTCTACTACCAGTGCCAGTAGAATATGTTTCTAATGTTTGTCCTTTGCAACTAGCTACTTTCTACATGATACTGTACGACTATCAGCTGGTGTTGTTCAACTTAGCCCTGCACCTTAGGATATGTCACGTTACTTAGCCCAGCACCTTAGGATATGTCACGTTACTTAACCCAGCACCTTAGGATATGTCACGTTACTTAACCCTGCCCCTTAGGATATGTCACGTTACTTAACCCTGCACCTTAGGATATGTCACGTTACTTAACCCTGCACCTTAGGATATGTCACGTTACTTAACCCTGCACCTTAGGATATGTCACGTTACTTAACCCTGCACCTTAGGATATGTCACGTTACTTAACCCTGCACCTTAGGATATGTCACGTTACTTAACCCTGCACCTTAGGATATGTCACGTTACTTAACCCTGCACCTTAGGATATGTCACGTTACTTAACCCTGCACCTTAGGATATGTCACGTTACTTAACCCTGCACCTTAGGATATGTCACGTTACTTAACCCTGCACCTTAGGATATGTCACGTTACTTAACCCTGCACCTTAGGATATGTCACGTTACTTAACCCTGCACCTTAGGATATGTCACGTTACTTAACCCTGCACCTTAGGATATGTCACGTTACTTAACCCTGCACCTTAGGATATGTCACGTTACTTAACCCAGCACCTTAGGATATGTCACGTTACTTAACCCAGCACCTTAGGATATGTCACGTTACTTAACCCTGCACCTTAGGATATGTCACGTTACTTAACCCAGCACCTTAGGATATGTCACGTTACTTAACCCTGCCCCTTAGGATATGTCACGTTACTTAACCCTGCACCTTAGGATATGTCACGTTACTTAACCCTGCACCTTAGGATATGTCACGTTACTTAACCCTGCACCTTAGGATATGTCACGTTACTTAACCCTGCACCTTAGGATATGTCACGTTACTTAACCCTGCACCTTAGGATATGTCACGTTACTTAACCCAGCACCTTAGGATATGTCACGTTACTTAACCCTGCACCTTAGGATATGTCACGTTACTTAACCCTGCACCTTAGGATATGTCACGTTACTTAACCCTGCACCTTAGGATATGTCACGTTACTTAACCCTGCACCTTAGGATATGTCACGTTACTTAACCCTGCACCTTAGGATATGTCACGTTACTTAACCCTGCACCTTAGGATATGTCACGTTACTTAACCCTGCACCTTAGGATATGTCACGTTACTTAACCCTGCACCTTAGGATATGTCATGTTACTTAGCCCAGCACCTTAGGATATGTCACGTTACTTAACCCTGCACCTTAGGATATGTCACGTTACTTAGCCCTGCACCTTAGGATATGTCACGTTACTTAACCCAGCACCGGTTAGGAGTTAGGACGGGTTCTATGTTTTCAGCTGTGTCGTTGTAATATTGTTTCATTAGTCCTCGTCTTTGTTTCGGTGGTTCAACATCTTTTCTGCTAACAGGTAACCGGTCGCGGTCGACTAACTAACTAACTAACTAACTGACTAACTAATTAAATAACTAACTAACGAACTAACTAATTAACTAACTAACTAACTAACTAACTAACTAACTAACTAAGTTCTAACTAACTAACTAATTAACTAACTAACAAACTAACTGACTAACTTACTAACTAACTAACTAACTAACTAGCTAACTCACTAACTTACTAACTTACTAACTTACTAACTTACTAACTTACTAACTAACTAACTAATTAATTAACAAACTAACTAACTAACTAACTAACTAACTAACCCACTACAGCTCGCGGTACCGAACTCTCTCTCTTTACCCCTGAAGGTACTCCCCCCTCTCAGCGCCGTTCGTTTTGTGTCCCGTCTTTCTCTCTCAATAGATCTTCCATGTTTGAGGATGACGCCTCTTCCACTGGTCACGACGGTAGCACCTCTTCCACGGGTATCAAATTCTCCAATAGACGCATGTCGGAAGGTGGCAATACTCTATCTGAGAGCTTGTATATGAATAACTTGAGCGAGGTGGTAGATGAATTATACATGAACAACCTGACTGACGAACAAACAGGCTCTAAAACTGACAAACAGGACGAGGAATCTCACACTTCATGGAACCTGGAGCCCCTTGGCTTCACCGGACGTTCCGTCTCCAGGACCTCCCTGTTTGACGACAACAGCCATGGTCCTGAGGTGGCTGAGGGAGCTGGGAGTGCTGGTTCTGAAGCAGCTTCTCAATCTGATCCGCTTTATGAGGTGGAGGGAGCAGGGAGTGCTGGTTCTGAAGCAGCTTCTCGATCTGATCCGCTTTATGAGGTGGAGGAAGCAGGGAGTGCTGGTTCTGAAGCAGCTTCTCAATCTGATCCGCTTTATGATATAGTGGCTAATCTGTTGGAGACCCCTTATGATTGTGTGGCAGACTCTTACTCAGATCCTGTATTGAGAAGACAGGCATCTGACGAACTGACAGACGAACTGACAGACGAACTGACTGATTTAAAGACCAAGTGGGATGATATTCCTATGCCAGGTGATTATAATGTTGTGTTTAGCGTTAATGTTATGTCATTGTGTGCTGTTCCTGTTGGTTTTAAGGGTGTCAAGATTTGCAGAAATTAGCAGTGGTAGGAATTGTACTGGAAGTACTGGAGGTAAGCGTACTGTGTACTGTGTATGTACTATGTACTGTGTATGTACTGTGTACTGCGTATGTACTGTGTAAGTAAGCGTACCTAAAGGTCACAATATGTGGACAGATGTTGTTAAATGTGGCCCATCCCATATTACACTAAGGATCTATACATGTGCTGGATTTAGCTTAGTGACGCAACAGTGATGTATAGTATTGATGTTGTAGTAGATGATCCAAGCACATTATCATGATTATGTACTCGATCTTGCCGACTTGATATTTATAGGCAAATGGTTCATGGTAAATCTCTATTTACAAATTGGGGAAAACTTGACTTAGCAGAATGTGCAGTGCATTGTTTTTTGTGTTTTCGTTTTTAACTGCGCGTTTTCAACCCCATTCTCTCAGGCCCTTTATCTGCGCGTTTTGGAGTCATAAGCCAGATAATTTCCAGGATTGTGCCTGGTTCTTACCTGGTTGTACGGGGGTCATTACTCAGGATGGAGTTAATCTACCTGCTCCCAATGACCTGACCCCTCCTCCTGAGTCCTAAACAAGGCCCCTCTCTTGTAGTGAATGTATCGTGTATCTCAGTATCTGGTGCCTCTTTGTTCTTTGTGGCCCTCATCAGTTAGAATAGATATACGTGTTCTGTCTAAAGGAGGACACGAACACTTTACATTGACACATTAAGTTAGTTACCCCGCCTTTATAGCAGCTCTCTGTACTTTACACGTGTACTAAGTAGTTCATTAAGTAGACAATGTGAAGCATGTGCTCACAGTGCTTCAGTTGGCCCTGGTACGCATACAAATTCTCAACAAATTATAAGTTATAACTTAGGTGGGTTCTAATGTTATACTGTAAATATTATGTATATACAAGAAAGTTATTGTCGTAGTGTTGCAAATATTCATGCCCTTGAAATCTTGATAGTTACTGAGTGTCGGCTACTTATTTGTCATCATTTGTGATGGTCATCTGGTTAATATAGTGGGCCCAAAGCTAAGTGTCCAGCGTAAACTTCTAAACATTTCGAGAAGTTTATCTGGTATCTTTACACAGGCTACTAACCTAAACGTTTAGTAAGCTGGTGTGCAATATGAGGGTGTCAGAAGAGTTGAAACAGATGAGTTATTGTTACTGTAATATCCCCTTGTCAGGCAACGCGGTTCAATTGCCACCGGAACTCCCGCTACCTCCGATACCACGTGACACACCACGTGACGACACCAGTGACGACGAAATGTCCTCAAATCGTGATCTTCAGGAGCGTGACGAGGCTCTTGGGGCCCTCGGTTTATCCGGAGGAAACGCTCCGCTTCCTAAACCTAAGAAGAAAACTAAAGAAGAGAAGAAGGAGAAGAAGGAGAAGAAATCAAGCGAAGAGTTGAAGAAGGAGGTGCTTCAAAACCTTGGACTGGGTGACACTGAGAATTTGCTGTCACCTAAAGAAAAGAAGAAGCCACTCCGGCCCCCGAGGTCTCCTAAATGTAAGAAAGAACTGAGTGAGAAGGATTTGAAGCACCGGAACGAAGCATTAATAAGCATGGGTTTATCACCAAAAGACACAAAACTTCCCAAGAAAGTTCGAGAAGTAATGACTACTCAGGGTACTCTCTCCTCCTTGAAACCCCAACCTCCCCCTCTTCCCGTTACTCCGATTCCAGGAGCGGGTCCTCCTCCAATACCAGCTAGAGAAGTTCAAATCCCTCAATCCAGCTCAACCCCTCCACCGCTCCCTCCCTCGGCTCCACCCCCCACTTTACCTCCTAATGCCTCGTTAACAGGAGGAACAGCCCCTCCACCTCCTCCCCCGATTACTACTTTACCACGTGACCCAACTCTACCACCACGTGACGCAACTCTACCACCACCCCTTCCCTCTACCCTCCCACCTGAAGATTCACCTCCACCCCTACCATCCACTCTACCGCCTGGTGATTCCCCTCCCCCACTCCCCTCCGCTCCCATCCCGGGAACCCTTCCCAAATCAATCGAGCAGAACCACGTGATCATATACGAAACAGAGGATGAGATTCCGGTCAGTTCTACTAATCTGAACCACGCAGCGTTCATCAGGTCTGACTCATTTGATGGCATGATGCCAGAGGAGGTGGAGTTTAATGTTGATATCAGTGGGGAGTCCAGTTCGGCGGATACCAGTAGGACTAGTACCATGGAGGATCCGAACAGCAAGGGTAACGTCACTGCTGACAAACCAGTAAACCAAGATGTGGTGCCAGTGGCTAAAGAAGAAACTCTTGTATCAGAATCTGTACCGGGAGATAACAGTGGTGAAGGAGAAAATGGTCCTACTGAAGGAGACATTGGTCGTACTGAAGGAGACAATGGTCCTACTGAAGGAGACAATGGTCGTACTGAAGGAGACACTGGTCCTCGTGAAGGTGATGGCTCCTGCAGCTCTGCTGTGTGCCACCAGCTCTCCTGCCACCTCGCTCTTACGCTTCCACTTTCGACTTAGCTCAACCAGACTTGTCTGTGTGAAAATCGAAGATCAAAATTTGCAGCTTGCCATGCTCCTAGCTACAAAACGGTTGGATTTAATTATCATCCACTGATTGTTTTACCCATTTTGCTTGATTAAACGGCCGAAATCTTAGATAAGCTGGCTGAAGTAACAATTATAATGCTGTGAGAGAACAGTTTCCAAATTTGGCAAAATTATAATTGAATGATCCGCTGTAGACCAATTGATTAATACAACACTTGAGCTGTGAAGATGAGCTGAATTTATAATTCATAAGCAGTCGCTGATTACTCATCAATAATATGTTTAGGGCTGGAAAATTAGTTGAAGGCCGGATTTTAATAATTGCTGGAATTTGGAATGTTTGGAAGTTCAGTATTTTTGAGACGCCAAGAAATTAATGTGAAAGTGTCTACGGAGTAAAGTATACAATATGAATTTTAAAAGTATATAGCTGGTTATAGTGTGGTTTGATATGGTTAGAATGGTCTGCTCTTGTTAGTTGGTATCAGAAAATCTAAAAGTTTAGTCCACGTTGTACTTTCGAACTTAAATAGTAAAACTTTTTACGTTTCTAACTGGTGAACTCTTCAGATGGTGCCGAGAAAAGGTTAACGAACTATGCAAACGTAAGCTTATTAGATTGCGAATGTTTCCAAGGAAAATATTATCAGTTTTAAATTTTAATCAAAGTATTTTTCGCCGAGTAATTTATTTTGCTGTTAGAAGCTGAAACCTTAGCCTGCGAGACCGTAGATCGCATGCCATGGTTGCTAAAAAACCAATTATAAAAAGACTTGACCATTACCAATTATTATATACATTATTCAAGTGCGTCATACATAAGGATTTAAGGGGAAGTAATGGTGGAGCATATGCCTTATACTCGTGACAGAGAACGCTGGCAAACCAAGCTACCAATGATTTAAATGAAATTCGTCAAATTTGTCACGCGAAATTTATATGCTCCACCTTTTAAATAACAATCAAGTTTAATTAAATAAAAATAAATTCTACCTTCAATTTTTCAAAGGTGGAATACTATGGAAATAGAACAGCGGAATACACCGACAACATTATAACCGAACCGGCTGACAAACGAATGACCATATTTTCTGAGGTAGAGAAACTCACGTGTTGTCATAGAGGAGGCGTAACATTATTGGTCACATAAAGCCATAGTACATACATATTACATTACGATGGAAACTGTATTACGATGAAAACTGCGATAAAAAGCCGCTCATATAACATAAAAACATGCGCGATGTGCGGCTTTTTATCGCAGTTTTCATCGCAATGCAGTTTCCATCGCAATGTGATATGTATGTACTACGGCTTAATTGCTCACATTATTGTGTGATGCCTCCCTGATAGCAGCGACGTCTTTAGTTCGTGTCATCTGCATGTGCATGTTAAATATTTTCACTGTTTTGATGGTCAATGGCGAACACTCGGAGAATATTCCCAACTATATAAGGCGGGACGTATGACCATTGACCCCCCCCCCCCCCCCCCCCCCCCCCGCAAGTATGAACTTCCCCCAAATCCATCAAACGCCGACCTCCGTGTCGGCGGATTTTGTGGGGGGGGGAGGGAGTGCACTACACTTTAGTGATTGCTCAAAAAAAAGTAGGAGAAGATAGACTTTTAGATTCGACTTCAGGGCGCGATCAAAAATCGCTCGTGCAATACAATTACACACACACGCTGACCTTTGACTGGCAATAATTTATTTTAATGTAAATTAGTGTAAAAAAGTGTAGTGCTCCCCCCCCCCACCCCCGGTTTTGTGGGTTTAATGCTAGCACCCCGCCTTATTTGTTGGCACCCCACCTTATTTATTATATGCATGATCTGCAGTGAACCGTGAAACTCTTGTGGCAGGTACACATACCCACCAACTCTCATTGTAAAAGTGAGGATATCATGATTCGGTCAGTTGAGGTAAATCGAAATGCATACATGATATGATTTGGGAGATTTCAAGTGGATTTTAATGAGGTCCAACATGAATTCCACTGCGATCCAGCATGGATTTTAGCTAAACATCGCGCATGATACAAAGCATGATGACTCAAGACACGACCGTTACTATGGTTACGCTACTGACCTGACATTTCTTTCATCTACTTCTTGGCATTAGCATAAGCAAACTGAATGACTCACGTTCTCTGATGTCTTATTTAGATTCTAGATGCATCTTCAACAATCTTTATTGCACGCTTTTCTTGAGATTTTTTTTCAAATGCATGCGGAAATATCCTTAAGATATATCAGTACCACAATGATCTTAATAATATAACCTATTTGGCACAAATTAATTTCATCTCACTCTGAAAATGCTGAAAATAAAAGTATCACCATTATGTCATAATAATTACATAACTATAAAACTCCTAATTAGTTAATGACCTAATTTCTTAGATCCAGTCAGAAGATACGTATAATAATGTAGAGGAGGACCTTAATAATGGTACTGTTAGTAGAGGAAAATTCTCAGATGCAGACCTATTTACTGTGGCTCCAAGTGGATGGGATGCTGGTCAGTCTCCGTTATATTCAGCTTACAATTAGCTTACAATTTAAGCTTCTAATTAGCTTATATAATTAGGGGTTATATAATCCAAAAAATGATTACGTAAAATGTGAACGACCCTCTACTTGAGAGCTTAAATTATATCTTTTAAAAGCTTAAATTTTATATATTTTAGGCCAATTCGACGATTCCCTCCCAAAAGTAACGACCACGGAAAACAACGACCTGTACTGCAACGTCGAAGCCCCGCAACAACAACCAACCCCCACTGATGACGTCACCAAACAGCTGCTGACGTCACCAATGTCTGGTGGTAAATCCACCTCGCCCCTCCTCAACATAGCCCTCCGACCCACCTCAATGTACGACCCGGACCAGTCCCTGTTCGAGGGAGGAGAACATGTGAACAGTGTTACGTCACAGGGTGGTGACGACATCTACGAGAACCAACCGATTAACAACATGTCGTCTCCCCACAACAACCAACTACCTGTGACGACAAAAGATAGGTTGCTTGCGGAGGGTTTTAGAGAGACAGACATACAGCGAGCTGTGGACATTGTCGGTGAGAATGAGGAAATGGCCAGAAAATCCTGCAGAGTTTCGTTGCGAGAAACTGAGATGAGGGCACCTCAAAATTCTAATGTTGATTGAGAATACATGTGTAGTGTTGATTAGAGGATGTTTGAGCTTGGCTAAGTTTTGTAATATTTTCTTTATAATTTTTGCTGAGCTAGTTTGTTAAATTTGTTAAGATGTTTGATGCGTGTTCTTCATCTGAACTTTATTAAAGCACCGTTGATTTCTTGGTCACATGACCCCAGGTTCGCTGTGACAAGTTATTTAAGTTTTGTCCGATATCTAGGGCTACCGGTATGATGTTGCACGTGTGTGCGCGCGCATTATTTTTCCATTCCCGTTATCAGTTGTACACAGTGTCCAAAAGCTGCAGCGCGGTCCGAAATTCTGTTGCGAATAAGTTTGTCACAGTGAAAATAGATCTGTAGCAGTTGATTGTTATTACACCGTTTTAAGCCAATCAAACTTTTTCGGTAATTTTAATTTTAGACTTTTTAAACTCCCTGCAATAGCGTTTTAGATAATAATACGAGGTTTACTTTTATTTTGATCGTTATGATTCTCGCCTGTGTCGCGATTTATATGCGAGAGATTTTACTCCAAATTGTGTTATTTCTTTAGTTAGGGAAAAAAAGTGTTTCAGATACCTATCTGGCAGAGAACTGCTCTTTTGGATCCTCACTAACGCCAAAAAATATTTGTAGCACTAGCTTCCTAAGGAAGAAGCCTAGACATCCCCATTTCCAGATGCCTTAACTTATACGCGTACAAATGTACGTTTACATGCCTACTGTTATACGTGTACAAATGTACGTGTACATGCCTACTATTATACATGTACAAAATATGTACGTGTACATGCCTACTATTATACGTGTACATGCCTGGGGGGGGCCAATGACTACTTTTGGGGACTTGGGGAATTACGTCAACGATTTTACCCCAAGTCCCCATGATTTTTAGTCCCCAAAAGTCTCCATTAGTTCCCATTTAGATGATTTTTAGTCCCCATTAGTCCCCAAAAGTCTCCATTAGTCTCCATTTAGATTTATCCTACCCTTATCTTGGACAAAACATCTCGATCGTATCGTTATTAAACTAACTTGAAAACCATAAATAACTGTCAAAAATTCTGGGGACTTATGGGGACAAATGGTGAATTACGTCAACGAGCTGACCTCTAGTCCCCATGATTTTTAGTCCCCAAAAGTCTCCATCGGTAGTCATTGGCCCCCCCCCCCCCCCCCCCCCCACATGCCTACTATTATACGTGTACATTGTAAAAATCCTCTGCACTGACAGTATGTTAGTAGGGACCCTATAACGTTCTCTGGTTAATAACTCATTTGATCTAGGTTTTCTCAGATTGATTCAAATCCCCCTAAATACCTGGTTAGTCAGTTAGTGGTATGATAAAGAAGTTTAACTTAAAGACGTTGTTGATTTACAATCAAATCCGTTGGCCCGAAACAAGAGGCTAAAACGGTTGTCGCAAAGAAAAATCTGAATGAATTAGAAAGGTCCTAGCTTGTAGCTCTGATTATTAGTTGGTCGGACAAATGGACAAGATTTTGTATCTCCTTAGCAATTACTGTTTACCTGAAGCTAAAAACAGATTATTTTTTAGTTTTAAGGCGAGACAACTCATTAAGCTATCCTGCTGAAAGTGGAGTTTGGATTATTTATGGCTCTTTGACCGTAGAGTGGTTAAATTGTTGCCATTTTATTCTGAGAGACGGAAGTATTTATAGTTATACGTTGCAAGGGCGGATCTGTTGAATTTATAGAAATTGGTTTTACATTTTATTTTTGAAAATTGTACATTATCTTCGTGACGATATGAATATGATTTTGTTGATTTCAATAATTTTCTTTACCTTATACCTAAGTATTTGGTCTCTTCTTTTTGTTTCCTCGAAATGAGCGGTGGGTTAAGGGCCGATGTTTACAAGAAAAACCGTTTCGGTTGAACGTGACATGACAATATAATTTAAATTATAAGTGATAAGGAAGATGGTCTAATTTTTCGTTAGGATTAAGGTTTAAGCTTGACGGATGTTACTCGTCTAAATTTCTTCGAAGTAGCGCGCGCCGCTTTCTTCTCGAAATGTTAGCACGAGCTGCGAAGTAGCGCGCGCCGGGCCAGATCATTAACAATGGTCAAGGTTTAAGCCAGGGGTGAAGGAATGATTTTCTTCATTGTTCATGAGGAGGCAAAAATCTTTGAGTTTTTCAAATTTAGCACGCGCTCTGAGCTTGGCCACAGCCTGAATTTTAAAAACGTTTAGTGTCAACCATGCCTGTACAAAGTTGTTGACTGCGTTATATTAATCAACATTTTATTTCTAAGCAGAGGATCTGAAAAAGACCCTCTGGTGTCACCAATTTCAGCTCGCAAATGGAGTTGAAACCTCGTTATTTTTAGCAGGGTTGTAAAAATAGGATAGGAATAGTATATATATATAGGCTATAGCAATTTTAGAATTTTGCGCTACAACGTATGACAACAGACAATAAAAATGCACGTGCGCGACTTTGTAGGTTTATAACCTACCAGGACGCGCGCTGAGTTGGACTTGTCGACGGTCCTGATGATAATCGGAACAAATATTTTACGAGTATTTGATACATGATTCGTATCCCAATATCATGTCAGAGATATTATATTATTATTTTGTATTATTATTTTTTCGCCTTCGGCGGCGCGCGCTTCGCGCGCGTAAAGTGGCATGCAACGTATGTCAAACGAGTATCAGTATCAGTATCACCCGTTAAGCGCGAGCAAGAACAGATTAGCAACGTGCGTTGTTGACGGATGTTAGTCGTCTAAATTTCTTCGAAGTAGCGCGCGTCGCTTTCTTCTCGAAATGTTGGCCCGACGGCAAGTGCTACGAAGTAGCGCGCGCCGGGCCAGACCATTAACAATGGTCAACGTGCGTTGTCATGCTCCATGATTAATGATACGTCATAACTAGCTCACATTAAAATTTGCGCTATGACTATTTATAACTTTGGTTGTGATTGATCACACAATTTTTACCGCATAAAAAAACATCAATTTGATGTTTTTTATGCGATAAAAAGTATCGATTTGAGCGCGCGCAAAGCCGGCTTCGCGTGCACGAGAGGTATACAACGTGTATGGTGTAGCAAGGAATACTTAAATAAAACCTTCATCGTTAAAACATAACTGTGTACGTAAAATGACAAAATTTCAACAAAATTGTTATTTAGGAATTATTTTAATTAGACTTTTTTATTGTTTCCGAAATAATTGATAATGTGCTGGCCGAATAGAAATACGAGCTAAAAACCCATTCAATGGTCAGTGCGCGCGTTTTACGGTCGATGGTGCACGGCCTAATTTTTCTTGTAAGCTAGTAGTACAAAATATACTAGCTAAAGCTTGTTTAGGATTACATGCGATGAGCTATTCTTACTTTAAGTTTATAATTATATATCACAGTTACCTGAGGACCCCAGGCTTTAAATAATATTGTTAAACGAATAGAGATTAGGCGGAATGACAGGCTGAGCGCGGCCCAGTAAATATCACAGACACAAGATCCAATCATGTCCTAATATTACCTACTCAAAGTCTATATCACATTCACTGTAATTCTTAAGCTAAGAAGGTAGTACACGCGCGAAACGTGTGTGAACAATGTTCATGCGTTATGAACAATCCAGCAATTGTCGTGCAACTAGTAGTACTAGTAGTACCTACCTTATTATATCGGACCCTATTTGGACGGACATCAAATGAGCGAACATAATATTATGAACGGACATTATAATACGATTATGAACGCTAGATCACAGATCAAAGGGCATTCAAAACCATAAAAAATACAAGTTCTTTTCAATTTTTAAATTTTTTTTTATTTCAGCAAATGATTTTTAAATCCATTTTTTATACAGTAAATAAGAAAAGCAGTCGTTAAGCAGTAAAAATGTTAAAATATGTGCACAGTACATGATCAGTGTCTAATATCACATTTAAGCTTCCGAAAATAAGGTGGAAATGCGATTTAGAGTCGATTCCGAAAGTTTCGTGCAAAAAATGTGAAAACTGATTGAGTTATTTCCAAATTAATGAATAGTACAGACAGATCCGTTTAAAAAAACCGATCTGCTGACACTCAAAGCTTTCAGAGGTTTTTTGACGTTTTTTGAGTCCCATTAGGTGCCCTTTATGGCTGGACCAACTTTTTCAAACTTTTCCACTTGTCTTAAGGCCACTTTTTGCCACTTTACCACTTTTTACCACCTTTTTTGTTTGTCGAATATCTTTAGTTGTGAACATCGTAAAAGGTTGCGGATCAATCGAGTGTGTTCATATTATCAGGAAAAAAACTTTTGTTCAAACATTTTTACGTCAGATAATAAGTTAATTGATAATTATCAATTAACTAATTAGCAAAATTCCTAAAAAATTTCTATTGGCTAAAAATGATCGGAATAGCTTAAAACACGGAAAAAGGTATTTTTAAGAAAAAATTTAAAAATTTTTCACTTACATTTTTTTTTCGAGACTTGGAAAAATTTCGAAAATTAAAAAAAAATTTTCCGCCAAAAGTGATCAAATCGCATGAAACACGGATAAAAATGCCTTTCTAAAAAACGTAGTGAATTTTTCGTTTCAAGAATACTTAAATCGCCAATATTTGTAGTTGGAGTTCAGTAAATCTCGGCAGATTTTAGTAATCAGGAATTAGTATTACTAAACTTGAAGAGGTCTGAAACTGAAAAACGTTAACCATACGATCGCGCGGCGATATAAGAGTTTCATAAACTAATTTTCACAGAAACTGCACCAATGGCACAGTCAAGATCAAAACGATAGCCTGCTGTACTGTCATTTTATTGATTTCAATGATGAATCAGTGGGGTTAAGATAATCACATTTGTAATAAAATATAAATAAAACATCTCTGTACCGTCAATTGTGCTAGTCTAAACCAGCCTACCTGTATTACCAGACCTCTTCTTTTCCTTGACAATCAAACCAAGTTGCTCATATCGCATTTGGTGGGTGATGTAAGTAGTAATACATATCGAGCTGTATTCAATCACAAAACGACACAATGCAATACGTGTATATTATATTATGGCCCTTAATCACAATGCTGGCAAGCATAACCGTTGCCCTTATATTCACAACACTATGTACCCCCTATACTATTATATCCCCTTTATTGTTTTCCCAGGCATTAAGACTCATCAGAAAGTAGTTCAGCAGGTATATTTAAGTTCAAAACATCTAATTCAATGTTAAAGATGACAGGAATAAGAAATAGTTATGTGGAGGTTTTTAAGAAATTTTGCGCAAAATACGCGCCAGCATGTTATGTGTTTATACGAAATTAGGTAAAAAACCCAAAATCGCCATATTCAGGTGCCTTAAAAACCATGTTTAAAATTGAGTTAGAGATCTGAAACTTTGCAGAGCGTCTAGACCTTGTCCAAATCGACTGTAAAAAAATTTATCATGTTGCAGGAGTATCGGGAAGGTGGTTTTTCTGGAACCCCTGTTTTTACAACAGATTGTCGTGAAGCTATATATATATATATATAGACGCTTTTGCAGTAAATTGTAGCCTACATTTAAGTGTCCGTAGATTCAAAAGTATAAAAGATACAGTCATTTTGAACCACAGGTTTTAAAGATAATTGTTTATACTTTAATTTACATTATATCGAAAAATAATTTATCGTCATCATTCATCACTTGATGACGGTCATCAATTAAGTGTTTTTAAAACTTGATTTTTGACAAAATAACAACTTTCAAATCGATTTTAAAGCATTAAGGAGTAATTTTATTCAAATCTGAGGACATTTTACCTAGATAATTGTTCAAGCATTCTGAAAATCTACCGGAAAGTTTTTCCTACCTTGCTCCTTCATAAAGATATTCGGCTATTGTAGTTTGTGCTTTTTTGAAGAATAATTTTATAAAAACACTAAAGTTTGATTTAGGTATTCTCTGGTGTTGGGCCATCCCTTGGGTTGTGGAGCTCAATTTTGCTTCCTAAAGGTCTAAATTGTGTTATAGGCTAGTTTTAAAGTTGAAAATCGAAAGTTGCACACATGGGACACGCCCTAATTCATTTAAAATAGCTAAAATCACTAAAAATTGTATTTCTCACGATTTTACAACTTTGGAGTCACGTTGTGATCCAAGTTCTTTTTGAAATCTTCTGAAACTTTTCATGCTTATCAACTATATATTAAATAACACTATGCAAAAATTATGGTGATTCAATATTTTATGCGCACGCAACGTCCGCGTCAAAGTTTGCAACGTGCGAAAGGTGAGAATTTTGCTCATTCGTGATTTTCGAATATATTTTGCTTTCCCACGATATTAAAATGGCATATATATGAATTTAATGCCAACTTGAATGAGTAATAAGTGCTATATTCAGTCTGTTATTGACAGATATGCCTACCTAAACACAAGGAAACGTTTTCAAAGTAAAATATCGAAATCGTTGAAATTACCTCCTTATTAAGGTTTTCGACTGTGTAAATTATCCTGACATTATAATCAAAAAGAGATGATTTTGACCAAAACCATAATCATGGGTAGAGTGAACCGCGGCCAGTGTCTCTCTTTTCCAACAAAAGAAAATGATATTAATTTGAGGAACCGTCCGCAAATTCAAATTGATACCGAGAATGAAATCGGTCGCTCGCTTTTCCCATTCATTCACGGCTTACGTATTGTATTAAAGCTTATTGATGGGAAAAGCGAGCGACCGATTTCATTCTCGGTATCAATTTGCATTTGCGGACGGTTCCTCAAATTAATATCATTTTCTTTTGTTTGGAAAAGAGAGACACTGGCAGCGGTTCACTCTACCCATGATTATGGG